ATCCCAGTGCACGCAAGGTGAGAACTTTCGCCACTTGGCTACTGAGCTGGGCCTGACAAATGGTATTTTATCAAACTAAGAAGCTCCTGTACAGCAAAAGAAGTGACAAAGTGAAGAGACAACTAACAGACTGGAATAAATTTTTGAGAAATATGAATTGAGAAAGGATTACTATCCAGAATGTATAAGGTGCTCAAGGGAATTCAGCAGCAACAAGACAGCTCAGTTAAGGAATGGGTAGAATGGGTAGCTCAGTTAAAGAATCTGAGTAGACATTTTTTCAAATGATAAATAGGAATGGCCAACAAACATCAAAAATTGCTCAGTAACAAAAGCCATCAGGGAAATGCAAATTAAAAACCACAATGAGGTAATATTCCAGTAAGCAGGGCTTTTATCCCAAAGTGAGGGTGTGGAGAAAAGGGAGTCATAATATACTTTCGGTGGTAATGCCGATTGGTACAGCCATTATGGAAACAGTAAAGAGATTCCTCAAAGAAGCAAAAATAGACCAATCACATGGCCCGACTTTCCCACTTCTCGGAATAGATGCAGAGATAGGAAGTCAGCACGTGAGAGATGCCTGAACTCCTATGTTTATTGTAACCCAGTTCACAATGGTAAAAATACAAAATCAATCAAGATGTTCATCAGCTAATGATAGAGAAAATGTGGCATATATACAGAATGAACTATTACTTAACCATGAAAAGGAATCAAATTCTCACATTTGGAGCAAAATTGATGCAACTGGAGATCATTATACTAAGTGAAATAAATCAAACACAGAAACACAAGTTCCACATTTTTTTTTTTGTCATGTAGAAGTTGCTGTATTTAAAAACAAAAGTGTGTGGATGCCTTGTTTTTTTGACAACAAACTTATGTTTTTACTGAATAATATTCCTTACATAATAATGTATTATTTATTCAGTTTTGTTTTAATATTTGTTACAAAGGTGATGGGAGTTGCAGGTCCATGTGGGCCTCCGGGTAGGGTGAAGCAGTTTAGAGTTGGGGATGGGGGAAAGGGGGTGAGGTAAATGTTTCTGTCTTCCTCCTGCGTCCAAGGCTCCTTGCTGTCAGAGTACATCAGTGCCAGGGGATGGAGATGGTCATTTGATGTTTCTTTAGAGACCCCAATGAGGGGAAGAATGTTCCAAGGGTGTTCTTTGATTTTGATTGTTTGTAGAAGTTGCTGGCTTTGTTGTACCAGAGGTAAGAAATTCTAAGGCCTGATGGCTGTCCATATTCATCTCAGTGTGCCCACAACCTCTCTGTTTGCTATAAAATGTGGCCTTGAATGTTGTTCAGCCTGCTCTTTCCATCTTTGAAGAGGTGCTCAAAGTGTTCTGGCAGCTTAGATGAGCTGGCTGTCTTACTTTGTGTGTGCCTCTGAGTATGTTCTTTATTTTTGCATGCGAGTCAGCAACTGAGTGTCCCAGTCCTGCAGCTTGTGCTCTGGGGTTGGACCACATATTTGTGTGACTCCCCTGAGGTTGAAGATTGAGTGTTGTGGTCTAATTGGGCAGTCCCCCCAAGAAAGCCTACCTGGCAGGTCCTCAGATCTGGCGTTGGTGTGCACTAGCCCACTCACTAGTCAGGGCGACCCCAAAGAAGCCCTACCAAGTCCTCCCCCAGCCCAGCTTTTTCGTGTGCTGGCAGGTATTGTAACCAAAAATATATGCTTTTTTTGTCATGAATTCCTTGTTATATGATATTAATATCTTTGGTTTAAAGAAAGAATTATAGGGGCTAATGCTGTGGCATAGTAAATTAAGCCTCCATCAGCGGCACCAGCATTCCACATGCGTGCTAGTTCAAGTCCTGCTTGCTCTACTTCCAATCTAGCTCCCTGCTAATGTGCCTCAGAAAGCAGCAGGATGTGACCTAAGTTCTTGGGCCCCTACATTATACTTGGGAGACCCAGAAGGCGCTCCTGGCTGCTGGCTTTGGAACTGCCCAGCTCTGGCCATTGTGACCATTTGGAAAGTGAAGCAGATGGAAGAACTCTTTGTGTCTCTTACTCTGTGTAACTCTACTTTTTATATAAATAAAGAAATCCTAAAAAAAGATTGATTAAAACATGTATGTGTATATAATATATACATATGAGCTAAGTATGAAGGATGTATCTCAAAATGTTAAAATTTGTTAACTGCTTGAATTCTTTATTATTTTCTGTGTTGTTTGAGATATCTTAAGATAAAAAAAGCATCCCCCACAAGAAAAAGTAATTAAAACTTTGCATGCATGTTATCTTTTACCTTCTTTCTCATGGTTAATTAGTATTAATTGGTACATTCCTAAAATGTGAAAAAATTGGTAAATTTTTTGCAGAAACACACATACCTGCACTCACATACACACTCACATATTCTGCAAGTGCTGTGTTACCTATGTCAGTAGGCTGTGGGGCTTTGTGTCAGATGCCTGTTTTTCCACATACAGATATGTTACTTAAATTTTTTTTTTTAAGATTTATTTATTTAATTTTTTTTTGGAAAGGCAGATATACAGAGAGGAGAACAGACAAAGTGGAAGATCTTCTGTCCACTGGTTCACTCCCCAACTGGCCACAATGCTGAAGCTGAGCTGATCTGAAGCCAGGAGCCTCTTCTGGGTCTCCCATATGGGTGCAGGGTCCCAAGGCTTTGGGCCATCCTAAGCTGTTTTCTCAGGCCACAACCAGGAAGCTGGATGGGAAGTGGAGTGTCTGGGATTAGAATTGGCAAGTTGAGGGCTTCAGCTGCTAGGCTACTGTGCCTGGCCCTGTTTTTACATTTATAATCCAGCATTGTGAAGTGCATTCGCAAAGTGGTGCAAACATCATTTCTGTCACCCATCCCTAGAATTTTTTTTTTTTTGTCTTGCTAAACTGGAACTCTGTATCTATTAAATAACCCCCATCTTTCCCAGTAATCAGTCACTGTTAATACATTTCTGTTCCTAAAACCTAGATACTGCATATAAGAGGAGTCATACAGTATTGTTCTTTTGGACCTGGATTCTCTTTTTTTTTCCAACATTTTTTTTTTTGAAAGACAGAGAAGTGGAGGGCAGAGTAGAGAGAGGGCCAAGCTGAAGCCAGCACCCAGAAATTCCATATATGTGGGTGGATCTCAAGAAGCCTGTTATCTTGTGCTGCCTTCCAGGTATATTCACAGGGAGCTGGAGTGGAAGTGGAGCAGTGGCACTCAGACCAGTGCTTTGATAGTGGACACAGGCATCCCAAGTAGAAACTTAACCCCTCAAGCTGCAGTGTCCGCCCTTGACTTTTTTCACTGAGCATGGGGTTTTCAAGATTCATCCATGTTGCATGTGACAGGACTGAATGCTCTTGTTAAGGCTGAGTGGTCCTCCAATGTATGTGTGTGTATCGTCACATTCTGTTCACCTGTTCCTCTGTTTGTTTTCCACAGTGCTGTATCACAAGCATTGTGTTTCAATTTCTGCCACATTTTTGCTAACATTTGGTATTTTCTGGGATTTTGGTAATATCCGTACTGACAGGTGTGAAGTGGTATTTTTCATGGTAGATTTGATTTACATTCTCCTAATTTAGTGATTTATTTTTATTACAAAGTCAGATGTACAGAGAGGAGGAGCGATAGAGAGAAAGATCTTCTGTCCGATGATTCATTCCACAAGTGAATGTAACGGCCAGAGCTGTGCTGATCTGAAGCCAGGAGCCTGGAGTCTCTTCCAGGTCTCCCACATGGGTGCAGGGTCCCAAAGCTTTGGGCCATCCTCAACTGCTTTCCCGGGCCACAGGCAGGGAGCTGGATGGGAAGCGGGGCTGCCGGGATTAGAACCAGCGCCCATATGGGATCCTGGGCGTGCAAGGCGAGGACCTTAACCACTGCGCCACCGCGCCGGGCCCTGCATTAAACATCTTATGAAGCCAAGTCTTTCTGTTTAAGAACATGGAATGCTTCTGCAGTTGCATTATCCTTTCTTTCCTAACTTTTTAATAAGGCTCTATAAAGATGTTATACATTTTAAGTTTATTCTTGGGCAGTTTCCCTTTTATGTTGTTATTCCTGTTAGCTGTCTTAATGAGCTATTGTTACTGGTGGCTGGTTCACTTTGAACTTCTCTGAGCTGAAACATAGATTATTGAAATACAGCACCTACGTTACTTTCTTCTACTGTTGATCCCCACTAGCTTAGAATTTAGCTTCTGCTAAGTTTGGTCTTCTGTAAAACAGAGATTTCACAATGCCTTTTCCCTTTCAGATTATTTTAAAATATTAGGCAAAGTCTGCCTTAGTGTCTGTTTCCAAGATACTGTTCTGTTTATACATCTTCTAAATAAAGCCAAATTTATAACTTCTCTAGCCTATTAAGAATTTCCAGGAACTCCAATGACTATACATTCCTAGCTGGAGAAGTTTATAGGTATCTCAACCCATTGTCCCTATATCCAAGTGAATTCCTTATTCTTAGAGCCAAATGGCACCCTTTAATTTTGTACAACTTCTCTCCTCCCCACCACCCCAACTCCTCCCATCTTCTTTTCCCTCTTCCCCTTTCTCTCTTTATTTCCCCCAAGGATTTATTTTATTTACTTGAAAAGTAAATAAATTTACTTGAGAAGGAGAGGAAGAGAGATTTTACATCTGTTGGTTCATTCCCTCGATGGCCACAGTGGCTGGGCTGGAGCAGGCTGAAGTCAGAGGCTGGGCACTTCTGGGTTTCTCATGTGGGTGCTGGGGCCCAAGGACTTGGACTGTCCTCTGCTTCTTTCCCAGGTGTATTAGCAAATAGCTGGATTGAAAGTGGAACAGCTAGGACTTAAACTGGCACTCATATGGGATGCCAGCATTGCATATGTGGTTTAACTCACCAGGCCACATTGTTGCCTTTTTCCTTTTTTTTTTCTTCCCTTTCTCCTTCTGTCTTTTCCACCTGCCCTTCCCATCCCTGTTTTGTAATTTTGCACCTAAGTAATTTTGCACCTCCACAAGGACTAACTTCCGAACTTTGCTTATTCCCAGCCAGGACATCACAGGTGACATTTACTATTTCAACTTTGCCAATGGGCAGTCCACCTGGGACCATCCATGTGATGAACATTATCGGAACTTGGTGATCCAAGAGCGGGGAAAGCTGTCAAATCCTGGGGCCACTAAGAAGAAAGACAAGAAAAAGAAAAAGGAGAAGAAAGAGAAGAAGGACAAGGAGAGCTCTAAAAGTTCCCTGGTAAGTCAGTGGGTGGCAGTTCCTGCAGAGGCCAGGGCTGAAACCTGAGGGGATGCTGGGAGCCCCTAGGTGTCCACAATGGGAGGATAAGAAACCAGCCTTTTATACATGCACTTTGGATAGCACTTTATCTGGGTTGTGACTGTCATCTGGCAGGTTTTTTGCTATCATCTCTAGCTGGTGACTGTCTTCTAGCCTTGGGAAGTGCCCGTTGCTCAGGGTTGGTGAGAGAGAGAGAGTGTGGTGCCAAGGACACTGGTGAGCAGTAGCTTGGGATATGATGGCCTCCGCGGAGCTTCTGTGGCTGCATGTCCTAAGTCATGCTAGTACAGGCTGATTCTTTGCCTTAAAGTAGCGGGAATTCACCTGTCACACACTAGCGTCTTGAAGACCCAAAAGAAAAGCCTTGGCGTTATCTGCTCTCTCTGCTCTGTGGATGTCTTGGTGCCAGTGTGTCTAGTGGTGGGCAGCTAGGTTTTGATGGCAGCACGCTTGCTGATCCCAGCAGCTTTTGTGTTTAGAGTGCAGAGTGCTCTTTCTCATTGTTGGAGCTGTCTGTCCTGTGTGTCCAAACTCAGGAGGAGGAGCTGCTGAGCCGTGGAGCTGAGCTGAGGGAAGCTCCTGCCTCCATGCAGCTGGGCTTGCAGAGACAGAGGTTGCAGAGGGGGTGCCAGGAATATGTTTTTAATTCTGTCCATGATCCAGTTGTGTTTCTCTTTTGTTGATAGCCTTTATTGTGCACCAGAGCCTGGCTCTTACTTCTCAGCAAGGAGTTCATCTATCTTCCTTCTCTCCCCTGGTGTCAGTTTTGGCTCTGAATGGGTGGTGATGAATGGGCTCCTTTTTATCATGTCCAAGCTGTCCGCTTCCTCACATATCGCTTTCTCATGGTTCTGAGCAACACAGTAATAAGCCCATTCCTCCGAATGCAGAAAAGAGGACAGGCAATCTCCAAAGAGGTAGGATTTTTCTAGTATTATGTATTTGACGGACAGAAGGTGACTGGTGGACTTCTAACCAACTCAGGATGATGTGAAATGAAAATTGGGCATCTGGTAGAACCCTGGCATGACTAAGGATGGAGAGGCAGTGAAGTGTAGTTGCTGGGGTGGAGGGTTAGGTGGCAGAACCGAGTTCTGGCTGTGCTTCTGGGATCCCTGGCCCTTTTGAGGTTTCAGGAAATTAGGGCGGTTGCACAACCCTTGACTATCTGGCTTTCAGGGTTCAAGACAGGAACTTGAGGCTTGCACTTGTCCAGGGAGCACAGGCTTGGCAGGTGGGTGTCTTGGATTTACTGGTTTGGGCTCTCTGGAGGCGAGCATGCATGGCCAGGTTCACTCTTTAAGTGTTTGTAGGGCTGGTTGGTATTTGAGGGTTTCTTCTCACTCTGAAGTGTACAAACTGCGTGGATGTTTCCCAAGTGATGTCACCTTGTGTCTTTGGTGTTCAGACTCTAGACTGAGTTTCCAGGCCTCAGACTGCTGTTGATGCTTTTTTTTTTCATTTTTCTTGGAGTTCTTTGGAGGCCTCAGTAAGGTTGGTGGATTTCAACAATGTTAACCAGACGTAGCTCTGTGGGAGACCTTAGAGATAATTGGACTGGTGATGATCACTTCTTTTGTTGGTAACGAAGCTCTGTCTTTGTGTTTTCTGTAGAGATCTACCTTATAAAATATGGAATGGAGCTGCTGTAATTGAGCCTGGGGTGTGGGTCTTAGTGGCCTTTTGCCATCACTGTAGTGGCCCTGGAGCTACCAAGCCCCACCCCCCCAGGCTCCACAGAGCAAGATCTGTAAGCCACCAATCATATCCAGCCCCTTCTTTATAGAGACTGAAACTGGAGCCCAGAAAAACAACAGATTTTCAGTCCAAGAGAGGTTTTAGCTTTTTTCCCTTTTTGGTGATGTTTTACTTGAAACAGAGGGCGGGTTTCTTTCTAGGCTTGCCCAGGGGTTGAGGTAGCAAGGATAAATCAAGTGCTTTTTCTTAGTTCTCTCTACATGTTTATATATCTGTCTAGGAAATGCAGCCTGAGCAGGGACTTCTGGCTTCCTCCTCTCTCCGCGGCCCGTCCCCTATCCCAGCACCTGGGCTTGCTGATCTGGACCTAGACCAGGAGACGCAGGCTGGAAGAAAGGGCTTCTTTAAGAAAGGGAAGAGCCCATGCATGCTAGGTGACCCACCCCGGCCTTTCTTGGGTGCCCTCCCCAGCAAGCTGCAGCCAATATCCAAGGGCCAAGCTTTCCGAACTCAACAGATCTTTGCTGATGTGGAGAAAATCTTAGGGAGGGCCCCAGGCCAATGCAGGCCAGAAATAGGTGATCAGCAGGGTCTGGAGAAACCCCCGAAGCCGGCAGAGAAAATCAACCTGGGGCTTTCAGATCCTGAAATAGAAGAGCTGGAAAAGATGACCAGACAGCAGAAACGTGGCACCCCAGACCCTCAGGATGTGGTGCCTCTCCAGGGTGGGCAGGATACATTAGAATACAGGAGCCAGACCCCTGCCCACCTGCAGCTTTCGGAAACCACCAAGGGCCCACAGCCGAAAGGGGAGCATAACCACAGCATAGCCAAACTGAGCTCCACTGGCCCTGGGGGGGACAAGGGCCAGAACCCTCTTCCCTTGCCATCGGAGGAGGAATCCTCCCTGTCTCTTTTTTCTTCTCATCACCTGCTGCCTACCAGGAAGAGCAAGTTGCTATTGTTGGAGAGGAGCCCAGCAGAAGACCTGAGCTGGAGAGGAGTTACAAGGGATGAGGGGAGCATGGGCAACGGGAGGCAGAGGAAAGAGTCCACAGCCTTGTGGAGAGGGCAGTTCGCCAAGCTCATCACCAAGGACACCTCAGGGAGCTGCAAGGAAGCCGAGCCCATTGACCTTGAGGCTACAGGGGCCTTGGCTGAAGACATGTCTCAGGGACTGTTCCTAGTAACACCTGCCAGGAAGGAGGCAGAACCAGTTCAGACTGCCCCTTCTGAAGGCACCCTGGCAGGGTCCCCTGTAGGGGAGAAGAGAACCCCTCCAATGCCCTTGGAGTCCTCTAATGGAGATAGGAAGGCTAGTGGTTCTGAGCCTGATGGGGAAAGCAGCAGTTACAACAACAGCCTGGCCTCCCACCTTGACTCTGAGGTCCTGGGTGAGATGAACAACTTGCCTTGGGACCTGCCAAGGCCCCAGGAATTTGTCTGGGGCATGGGTCAGTCAGGCCCTGGAGTCATAGGTCAGCACTTAAGTCCCTTGCTGGCACGGCAGTTGTCTCCCATGCACAGCCCTGCTGAGGAGCACTCAGAGAGTGAAGACTACTCGGAGGACCAGAGGTTCTACCAGCACATCCTGCAGATGGCCAAGATCTCCCGGCGGCTGGAGGGCCTGGGGCTGCCCGAGAGCATGCAGGAAATGCCATGCCAAGACATCACCAGCATGGTCTGCTGCATGGCGGCTAGGTGTTCGGGGTTGTGCAGTGACGATGAGCCTGAGGCCCTCAAAGCCATGGAGAGGGACCACAGGTTTCTGACCCAGGGGCCAGAGCTGCTGGAACTTCCTCAGGAGGAGGCCCTCGCCTCAAATGGCCTGGAGTCCTCTCCCCAAGTCCACTCCAGCAGCAGCCCCCACATACAGGGGCTAGTCGAGCTGAGCTCCAGCAGAGGGCTTCCTGCAGGGCCTGGCAAGATGCAGCTGCTCAATCAGGTAGGCTTCTTAGAGAGTCTATGGCCCAAGGCCTCGGTGGATTTGGCAGGGAGGGAGCAGGTGGAGGTGATATCTCAGTGCAGCCCTCAGGTATGCTTTCCTGCTGTTCATCCTCTCTATTGATCTATTAACCACCTCAATGATGATCATAGGGGGTGATGTGTGCTTCAAGTGTCTTGTCCCATATTGCCTGTAAGCTAGGGCTGGGGTAGATGTGACTTCCTTCCCCAATTCTAACTGTAATTCATGGGGAGGTCCCAGGGTTTGACGATGGTTAAGTCTTGAGGGTGGACAGGGTCTTGCTGATCTTGGCAGCTATGCAGGATATGGGCACTCTCCTGATAATTTGGGCAGCCTTTTCCATGAGCGGATTCTGGAGTGGGGTCCTTCCACGTGTGCACCTTTGTCTTGCAGCCCTGAACTTCTTCCCTTTTCTGAGTCACAAAGGACTAGACAGCTCATAAACACTCACAGAAGGCTTGGAAGTTTAATCTCTGACAGCCAGTGCGCTGCTTCTACTCCTGCCTCTGCCAAGGTCCCCGGGAAGCCCAGTGGATAACATCTATGTCAGACCTTCCTGAATGTCTCACTCCCTCCCCTTACTGGGATCTGCTGAAGGGTTGTGTTCGCCCTGTCATTCTGACCCTTTTTCCAGCCACCATATTTTTCCTTCAGAAGAAGCCAAGTTGTATCAGAGACCATGGGAATCAATCTGAATTTCCCCGGCTGCTCTTTTGCTGTGGCCCGGCAATGAGTATGCCTGGTTGTTCCCTCTGGTTTCTAATTGCTGGCACGTGTTGGTTCTGCGTTAGCCCTAATAACTACTGTAGTGCTATAAATATCAGATAAGCTGCAGATTATCCTGAAGGTTTTAATTAACCCAATGGCAGCAAGTATATCCCCTCTGAATGACAATGCCACGCACAGTCCCGCACACGGAGTTAATGGCCGTCTGTAGAAGATGAGCAGCTAGGTGCCAGCAATGTATCATTTTCCTGCTAACCATTGATTTGGTAAAGGCCTGGCAGAACAAAGTCCTCAGCATGCCTGTCTCCCCCCTTTGGTCGCCAAGCACGTTAGCAAATTAGCCATGTTAGGAGTTTGTAATTTTCCTTAAATGCGGTGAGGGAAGGATTTTGTTGGCTAGTGACTAGGGCTGGTGGGAAGGATTGAAGCCAGGAGGAGTAGGCATGATTTGCCCACAGTTTATTCAAAGCAGCTTTCTTGAGTTGTTTTCCTGCCATAGCCTGAAGGTGGCATAAAGCATCTACCATCTTGGGCCCGGTGTCGTAGCGTAGTGGGTAAAGTCCTCACCTTGTACACCCGGGATCCCATATGGGCACCGGTTCTAATCCCAGTAGGCCCCATTTCCCATCCAGCTCCCTGCTTGTGGCCTGGGAAAGCAGTTGAGGACGGCCCAAAGCCTTGGGACCCTGCGCCCACATGGGAGACCTCTAAGAGGTTCCTGGCTCCTGGCTTTGGAACCGCTCAGCTCCAGCCATAGCGGCTGCTTGGGGAGTGACAGACGGAAGATGTTCCTCTCTGTCTCTCCTCCTCTCTGTATATCTGACTTTCTAACAATAATAAAAATAAACAGATAAATAAATAAATAAATAAATAAACAAATATAAAGTGTCTACCTCAGAGACAGTCCTGGGCTCCAATCCAGTTCTCCCACATGAATGGCAGGGACCCAACTTATTGAACCATCACCTCTGCCTCCCAGGGTGCACATTTACAGGAAGCTATGTACACGAGTGGTACAGGGATTCAAACACAAGCATTCTGATGCAGGATCCAGGTGTCCCAAGCAGTGAGTTAGCTACTGTGTGCCAAATGCCAGCCAACTCATTCACCCATTCCCTCCCACCTATTTTTTTTTTTTTGAGTTTGAAAGAGTTTCTTTATGTTGTTAAAAGATTTATTTATTTTACCTGAAGGTCAGAATTACAGAGGGGTCTTTCATCCTGTAGTTCACTCCCCAAATGGTTGCTAAGGCCAGAAATAGGCCAATCCAAAATCAGGAGCCATTAACTTCCTTTTCTGGGTCTCCCATATGGGTGCAGGGGTAAAAGGACTTTGGCAATCCTCTGTTGCTTTCCCAGGCTATTAACAGGGAGCTGAATCAGAAGTGGAACAGCTTTGACACCCATATGGGATACCAGTGCCACAGGCAGAGGATTAGCTTGCTATACCACAGCTATACCCCACTGGCCCCTTCCCACTCCCTTTTCACAAAGTTTATTTTGGGAGAAGGATAAGGGAGTGAAGAAGGGGAATAGATGGAAATGGAAGGGGAGTGGGTTGGAAGAAAAGTAAGAGAGAGAGTACTCATGTACTGGTTTACTCTCCAAATGCTGTGGCAGCTGGGACTGGGCCAGACTGAAGCCAGAACTGAGAATTCAGTCCAGGTCTCTCAGGTGAGTGGCAGTGAGCCAACTGTTGGAGCCACCATCCTGCTTGCTAGAATGTGTACCATCAGGAACCTAGAACGGAGAGCAGAGGCAGGGCTGGAACTCAGCCCCTCTGGGATACAGACATCCTTCTCAGCATCTTAACCTCTGTGCCGAAGGCCCATCCCGTTTAGTCTTCTTTTGTCACTTACGTATATTTATTCATAGTTATGTTTATCTTATTTTTAAAGATTTATTTATTTTTATTGGAAAGGCATATTTACAGAGAGAAAAGGCACAGAGCGAAAGATCTTTTATCTGCTGGTTCACCCCCCAAATGACTGCAATGGCCAGAGAAGAGCCAGTCTGAGACGAGGAACCAAGAGCTTCTTCTGGCTTTCCCATGTGGTTGCAGGGTCTCAAGGCTTTGGGCCATCCTCTACTGCTTTTCCAGGTTACAAGCAGGGAGCTGGATCTAGATGGGAAGTGGAGCAGCTGGGACATGAACCAGTGCCCATATGGGATCTTGGCGCATGCAAGACAAGGATTTAGCTATTAGGCTGTTGTGCCGAGCCCAGTTATGTTTATTTTCATCCAAGAAATACATGCCCATAGTTTAAAAAAATGTGAAATGGTGGATGGCCTTGTGGTATAGGACGTAAGCTGCCACTTGAGACAGCTGCATCCCATATCGGGTGCCTGGGATCAAGTCCTGCTTCTGATCCAGCTGCCTGCTAATGCATGCCCAAGGAGGAAGCAGGTGATGGGTCAAGTACTGTGGTTGCTGCTGCCCACTAGGGAGACCCAGATGGAGTTCCTGCTTTCTGGCTTTGCCCTGGCTCAGCTTCAGCTGTTGCAGGCATTTGGTCATGAACCAGTGGGTGCAAGGTCTGTCTCTCTGTTGGCTCTGCCTTTCACATAAATGGAAATAAATAAGCAAATGTAAAAAAAAATCGTAACTAGTTACATTTTGAAAAAAGCTAGATTGGACCACAGGGTACATCACTTCAATACAGCAGTTCCCTGGTATGACCGACCACCTGCCTGGGAGCAACCACTTTGTTCCCAAGTTTACTTTCATCTTTGTGGACAGTGGGCCTAGGCCACTTTCTCCTGAGTTGCTCGTTTTAAACTTCATCCACTGAGCTCCTCCTCTTGATGGGTGAGGACTTGTGTCCTCCTGCCTCATCCTTCTCATCATGTAGTTTCTGAAAGCAGAGCAGAACACCATACAGCAGCTGCCAGATGCAGAGGCACAGTTTACTGTGTTGTAGCGTTGGAGCTATGAGAATCAGGAAGCCAGCCTGAGATTTCTCCCACACTTGGCACAACAGTAATTTGTGGCTGTTGTGTTTCATTAGCATCCTCTGAGCGGAGGTGGTTTAAATTTGAGCGGGCAGGATTTAGATGCTTTATTTCTGTATCCTGTCTCTGACACTCTCAGAGCCACATGTTTTCTTGGATTTGTAACGTGATGTTTTCTGTTAACCAGGCTCTGGGCTCCTCGTTGGCCCCAGTCCATGTTCCTCTCGGGGGCCTGGCCCCTCTCCGAGGCCTTGTGGATGCCCCATCTTCTGTGCTTTGGGGACCTCCCAATAAGAGCCTGGGGAGCTCAGCGGAGTCTGGTCAGCATAGAGAACTGCCGGTAAGCACTTGCTCATGGTCAAGGGTGTGGTGGCAGTATGGAGGGACCAGCTGAGTGCTGAGTCTCCTTGGGAGGGTGAGTCACCCCTGGGAGCTGGCACAGGGACGTGGGTGCTGACTGACCCGTGCCTGTAGATCAGGCAGCATGAGCTGGAGTTACCAGGTCTTCTCCAGGGATGTGGGGGGACTTGATGTAAACAAAGGACTTTCAGAAGGTTGTTCCTGAAGCGCTTCCTGGTGAGTCCTGTGCTTTTCTCTCTCTTGTAGCTTTCACAGGGCTTGAAGACGCCCACGGGAGCCACGGGCCTCCTGAGCTCAAACATCCAGGAGGACAAGAATACTCTCAGGCTTTTGGCTTTAGGGGAAGATACCCATGAGGAGGATGAGGAAGAGAGCAACCACCAGGTGAGGGTCAGACCCTCTTTTATTTATTTTTTACTGTAGTAAAATATGCATAAGGTAAAATTTGCCATTTGAGCCATTTTTAAGTTACAGTTCAGTGATACTGAATACTTTTACAATGCCATTCACCCATCACCACTGTCCGTTTCCAAAAGGTGTTCATAATCCCAAGTGTAGACTCTGTTCCCATTAAACAGTGGTGCCTTGCCTCCCACCATGCGCCCCCCACCCACCATGCGTACACACGCTTCCCCTGTTAATCGCTAACCTACTTTCTGTCTGTAAATTTGTTTGTTGTGATGGTTCACGTGAGCACAGTTTTGCAAGGGTTGTCTTTGGTGTGTGGCTTCTGTTGTGAGCATGTTTCCACGATCATCCACATGGCAGCACGTGGTGGAACTTCATTCACTTTCAAAGCTGAGTACTACTCAGGGTGCGTATACGGCACATGTGGTTCATCCATGTACTTCCTGATGGGTAGATACATGGGTTATTTACAACATGCACTCACTCTGTGATATTTCAGAAATAGCTTAAAAGGGAGTTTCCAGCCTATACCTTTATTTTCTCCAGTCTGTTCCCCTCCAGACAGTACTGTGAGCCACCTGCCAACCCTAAGCCCTGTTCACACTGGTAAAACACTGTGAGTGAGGCTGCCTCATGGGATTCAGCCCCGGAGTGCAGGATACAGCCTGCTGTCCTTGGCATTCTCTTCTTCTAGGCTGACCAGCTCCCTCACACTCACCACTCACATTCACCTTTGTTTCCAGAGTGTCCGCAGCACGAGTGACCTTCTCAAGAACTTGCACCTGGATGTGGGGGCATTGGGAAGCGATCTTGAGTATAAGGTAAGAGCCTGGAGCCCTGCAGGCTGGGACTTCAGCCTGGCCTGTGTCTGTTGCCTTATGACGCCTTTCTATTTTGTCCCAATCCAGGGGGATTTGCAGTGGGACAAGAGGGGGAAGCAATTCGTTCCTCTACTTAGGTACCAGCTCCCAATGTGGCTTGAATGGTTCTGCATGAGGTACCCTACTGGTGCTGTCATTCATTGGTGCATCAGTGGAACTTGATCACTGCATCATAGAAGACAGACTTCCACGATGCAGGGTATAGGCTAGAAAGAGGATGGCAAGGCTGTGATGAAGGGAGCAGTTTGGATCTACCAGGAAGGCTTTTATTATTATTATTATTATTATTATTATTATTAAGAAACTGACCTCTGAGGTGAGCTAGGAAGGAGGATGGGTCAGTTCAGACATGCAGAGGTAAAGGTAAAAGGGAAATTCAAATGTAGGAACTGCACAGACATAGGAGGTGTGGGGTAAGTTTAGGGCAGGTGAGGTCTCCTTACTCTAGGGCTGGGTCTTAGGCACTGGAGTGGCTAGCCTGGAGGTTTAGAATGGATTCCATTGATACTGGGAGCCATCAGAGGTACTGCATATTCCAAAGCCTTTTTTTTTTCTTAAGGTTTCTTTATTTGAAAGGAAGACACACACCCAAATACGTACACACAGAATCATTTGATGATTCACTCCCAAATGAGACCTGCTATGGCTAGGTCTGGGCTGGGCTGAAGTCAGGGGCCAGGAACTCCATCCTGGTCTACCACACTGGTGGCAGGGGCCCAAGTATGAGGCCCATCTTCTACTATCTTCCCAGGCGCATTAGCAAGACCCTAAATTGGAAATGGAGTAGCTGGGTCTCTGATATGGGATACCAGCTTAACCCACTGCACCACAATGCTGGCCTGTTCCCAAGTCTTACTATGTGTTGAATATGGGCTCCATCCCAGAACACTGTGTTATGTGCTGTGGAAGATAGAATTACCAGGGAGATTTAGACCCAGATTTGCAACTAGAGAGGGAATAGATACTGGGTATTTGCACTTAGTAAATATTCAGTCAGTGTTGAATGAATGGACATTTAAGGTGTGGTAAGATAGAGTAGAATGGTTAGAGCTGTGACACAGCTGCACTGTTGCAGGGAGTTCTGTGGGAGAGCTTACATTTCTCCTGGGTCCAGAGGGCAAGGTAAGGTTGAGATGTAGAGGACCTAGGAGATATCCTGGCAAGCAGATAGCCTGAGGAAAGGCACAGGGGCTAGAAAATGCAGAGTCATTGATGGCAGTAGCTCTTGGAATATGCTCCCAAATTATAGTTTCTTTATCCGTATCTGCCACCAGAATGTTGTTGAGTGGCAGGCATAGTGACATAGTGGAGTGCTTGATCCCAGCTAGGCTGCTCTTCTGACCCAGTTTCCTGCGAATGTGTCTGGAAGGTGGCAGATCACGGCTTAAGTACTTGGGTTCCTGCAATCCGTATTGGAGACCTGGATGGAGTTCCTGGCTTGGGGAGTGAGCCAGTAGGTAGATGATCTCATTCTCCTTAGCATGCTACTTCCAAACAAACAAACATAAACCAAAATTCATCATGTGGATATAGTACCCAAAACTTCCAATATGTTGAAATTGGAAGATAAATTCCATAGTATTCTTTCTTTTCCTTTCTTCCTTCTTCCCTCCCTCCCTCCCTCCCTCTCCTTCCTTCCTTCCTTCCTTTTCTCAAAGATTTCTTCATTTACTTCAAAGGCAAAGTTACAGAGAGTGAGCGAGAGGGAGATAGAGGTCTTCCATCTTCTGGTTCACTCCCCAGGTGGCCACAATGGTCAGGGCTGGCTCAGGCTGAAGCCAGAAGCCAGAAGCTTCTTCTACGTCTCCCACATTGATGGTGAGGGCTGAAACACTTGGACCATCTTCTGTTGCTTTTCCCAGGCCATTAGCAAGGAACTGGATCATGTGCTGGAGTCTCTATGGGTTGCTGGCATTGCAGTTGGCAGCTTTACACCAATACCGGACCAAATATATTTTCTAGCATCCATATTATTGATTTTTAAATAATTAACCTTTTTGTAAGTTCCAAAAATGTTTACACAACCAGTGAATCATAAAGTCAACAAGTTAGCTTTCCCCATTTAAAATATTGACTATAGATGCAATCAGTTAAACTTTTGATGAGTCTAAAGGTTCTTTTAAATACCTTAAAATTTTTAAATTCAAACAAAATGCTTTATTAGAATAGTCATAAAACTGGCTAGTAAAACACTAGCATGCACAGCATGGGTCTAAGTTTGTTTGCTCTTTCACTCTCCCATTGTTCATTCTTTCTTTCTGGCAGAGAAGGTGGGACAGATCTTACATCTGATGGTTCACTCATCAAATGGCCATAATGGCTAGCATTGTGCCAAACTGAAGCCCGGAACCTGGAACTCCATCTGGGTGTCTCACATTGGTGACAGGAGCCAAAGTATGTGGGACATTATACATTGCTTTCTCAAGTACATTAGTAGGGAAGGTTTGAACCGGCACGCTGATGCAGCATGCCGATATTATGAGGGTAGCTTAACAATGTGGACCCCCTCATATATACATATAAACAAGTAAATAAATGAATGAATAAATAAATACACATATGTATAAAGCTCAATTTCCTTTTCCACGAATTTATAAGACTATTTGTTGGAAAGGCGTGTGTTTATATGTGTACATGCAGAGACAGAAATAGATGGACAGATTTTCCATCTTTCAGTTCACTTCCCAGCCAGGACTGGGGCAGGCCAAAGCCAGGTTCCTGGAACTCAGTTTGAGTCTCCCAAGTATGTGATAAGGCCTCAGCTGCTTGAACCCAGAATAAGCCTTAAGAGGAAGCTGGATTGGAAGCAGAGCTGGGATTCTGATTTGGGATGCCAGCATTCCAAGCAGTCTTAACTTTGACACCAAATGTCCACTGTACCTTATTATTTCTGACCTGGGTTTCTTGGTTTCTACTCTGAGTGCTGGAGTCTCTGTCTAGCTGAGGTTTCAACTGCTAGATGACAGCCCCCAACTGACACTTGAGACCCAAGTTGTGGGTAAACCTCTCAGGGAGACCCTCTTCTGATTGGGCAGGATCCTTTGAAGTTGAGATGTTGAATCTGACTTTAACATTTTGTGCCAAATGTGGTAGTTTTTCTGAGTGTGCCAGTGTTATCAGCCTGGCGTGTGTATACTTTGAAACCATTCTTAGTGAGTGAGGTCCGGTCTGTTTGGATTAAATGCAAAGCCTTCCATTTGGTTCCTTGACGTAACAACTTTGTTTTCATTGCATCCAATGTGAAGACTATTCCTGACTGATGGGCTCAAAGGAGATGCTTAGGGTTAGAGCCTGAAAAGATGGACATAAAGAGGAGTGCAGGTGTCCAGAGGACTTACTTCTGGAGAAGAGTACTTTCTAGAAGGCAGGAAGTGGAGGGTGGAGTATGCTCTTTACATTTCTGTATGTCCAGTCAGCTTGGGGCCAGCTGCAGCACAGCTGTCACCTGAGTACATTTCATCCCACAGCTGAGGGCATGAAGATGTGAATGACTCAAGGAGCTATGCTGGGACACAGCAGTATGCAGACAGATTGTGCCATATTGCTTTCTTTCCCTTGCTTTCCCTGGTGCTGGGTAGAGTGGATACTTGGTCTCTGCTGCCGGCTGGGGTTAAAAGTCTCAATGTACACAGGTCATGATTGACTTTGATCTTGGGCCAGTTGATTTTTATATCACAATGGCTTATGAATGTCAGTAGCAAAGTCTCTTCTTCAAAATGTCCTAGATTTCTACAGTCCTTCCTAGTGATGATTATGTACTTTTTTGGTGGGGTGGAAAGGGGGAGTGGGAACTTCTAAGTGTTTTTATAACCTCTCTAATATAAATAGACAGCTTGGTGTGATGGAGGAAATGTCTGGCGTGGGTGGTGTTAAATACACCTCCCACCACTGTCTCTAGCATCCCAGCAGCTTGAGTTCTTTTTGCTACATGGATTGTTGGATCCCAGTGTTCTCAAGCAGGAAATGGGCTTTTCCTGTTGGGAGGTTACTGGTGGGAATGAACTGGGCTGTCAGAGGACAGTCTAAGCTGCCTCTGCTTGGGACATGCTCCTTTGTGAATGGCTTTTGTCGCGATTTAGAGACCTGGAATCCTTGGTGCCACCAACCTTGGCCACTCCTGGGCCACGTGGGCAGTGCCAGATGGAGATTTCCTCCTTCAGTTGGCTCTGCTCTGTCCCTGGTACAGTCACTTTGCTCCTGAATCCATGAGAGGGCAGTAAGATGGCAAGGATGCATCGCTCCCTCTGTCTCCTCCCTCCTCCCCTGCTTTCCACCTTAGATCCATTTCTACTCTGTTGTAGACTCAGAAGGGAAAGGCTTATGGAACCATGTGGGGAACGCGTATGGATGGAATGGTTGGCGACTGAGAGATAGGCAAGCAGGTGGTGTGAGACCATGTGGCGCTGATGAAAAGCCTATCCACAGACCAAAAGAGTGGGAGGGAACCCAGCTTAGAAATAACAGGATAATGTCAGTGTGACTGAAAAGCAGTAGTGTCTCCATAGATCTGTGCAAAGAACTGAGACCAAATGGGGTGGGAAAGGGACCTGCAAAGTCAGCTGGCCTGTGGGTCGCCTTGGCGGGGGTCCCTCACCACAGTCAGTTCCTGCCTCCAGAGTCCTGTCCTGTGTTGTGAAGGTCGGAATAGCCCCAGCCTTTGAGCAGGAAGATGGGGATGGCAGCTCTGGAGACTTCATGGCTCTCGGTGGGGTGTGTTACATACACATGGAACAATTCTTACAGCCATCTCTTGTACCCACTCTTCATGCAGATGGTAGAATCTTGAAATATGCCTTGAGTACAAGGACCTTGGGCTGCAACAGGAGGAGACAGAGAAGTGTGAGCCACCAGAAGAGTTGAGCGCAAAGCTGTGGGTCTGGCTATAGGCCCACACCTGTCCTATGCACCCCAGAGCCTTGGGTGGAAAATTGCACCATTGCTGGAGTGTGTCTGCTGGCTGGGGTTTCATGTTTTGGGCTCAGCCTCTGATGGAATGAAGAGCAAGTAATGGATGAAAGCAGAAGAGTAGGGAGCTCAGTGGGTTTTTCAGACACTCACTCACATGTGAATGATCTACAACAAGGGTGAGTCCCTCTCTGCTTTCCCACCCTGAGGTTGTACCCTTGGCTGTCCTGTCAGTGTGGTCAGTTGGCATGAGCACAGAGAAGAGGCCATTCATTTTATTACATTTTATTTATTTATTTATTTTGAAAAGCAGAGTTATGGAGAAGGAAGGAACATGGAGAGAGGTCTTCCATCTGCTGATTCATTCCCCAAATGACCAAAATGACCAGATCTGAGCCAATGTACAGGCAGGAGCTTCTTCTGTGTCTCCCATATGGGTGCAGGGTCCCAAGGCCTTGGGCTGCCCTCCACTTTCCCAGGCCATAAGCAGGGAGCTGAATCAGCTATAGCAGTGGAGACAAGAACCAGCACCCATATGAAATGCCAGCACCACAGAGCAAAGGATTAGTGTGCTGCACCTCTCTGACAGCCCCTGAAGGCAGGATTTTAAACCACTACGCCACAATGCTGACCTCTACAAGAAAATTCGAATCTGTTTTTCAGAGTAGGAAGAGAAGCCTCAACTCCCATAGCTGCAGAATATCCTCATTTTTAAAACATAGTCAACAATACTGAGCATCTCTGGTGTGAAATGGTACTGAGACAAGAGGAGGCTGATGATGAGGCAAATCAGCAATTATAGTAGCTGTTTTGCTGGAGGAGGAGAAAGCCCATCTTAAGAAACTGCCCCAAGAACGAGGGAGGACATCCTCGAAGAAGTGACTTGAAGACAAGTGGGAGTTTGTGAGAGGAGAGAGAGAAAGAATTTCTTATGCGTGTGCATAGCAAAGTAGAGAAATAGTGTGATGGTTCTGCCTGGCGGGGGACATGCAGAGTACAGTGGAGGTAACCTGTGAGAAGCAGGCAGGTGTGGGATAACAAAGGCTGTGGGTCACGTGCTGGGTGCTTACTGTGTTCTCAAGGCTGGGGGCCTTGTCTGTGGTCTGACACTTCCTCTGATCCCAGATCTGTTCCAGACAGCCCTCTTGGGGCTAGATTTTAATGCCAGCCTCAACCTGAAGTACTCAACCTGAATCCAGGTTGAGCTTCTTAAGGTTACTGAGTGAAGGGGTTTGAGTGGCCAGACACACCTCATCCCTTGACACTCCCATCTCCCTCTTGGAGGCTTCGGGGTCTTCCTTGGAGGCCCACAGAGCCATTGTAGAGCTCTTGTTGTGTGCTGGACCACTGCTGCTGTGTGGGAAGTAGAAGGCCAGGCCTTAACCTGTAGCCTTCTTAAAGAAGAGGACCGGTAGTGATGACCTCATTCATGTGGGTTCTGGCTCAAGTCCTGACTGCTCCACTTCTAATCCAGCTCACTGTGAACAGCCTGAGAAAAGCAGCAAAAACATGGGTCAAGTTGCTTGGGTCCCTGGCATTTGTGTGGAAGACCCAGAAGAAGCTTCAGCCTGGTCCATGCAAGAAGTCAACCAGTGAATGAAGATCCCTCTCTGTCTCTCATGTTCGAATAAACAAGTCTCTCTGTCTCTTTGTTTCAAAAAAGGGGAGAAGGCACTCTCTTGCTCTCTTTGCTGAACCCAGTGGTTGCTGCAGATTTCTTCCATGTTAGATGTGGGGATGGTGGGAGGGATGCCTGCTTTTGTGTTCTTGGCAGAGGATGCTGCCTCCAGTGTGCTTAGTGATCACCTTGCACGGGGGGCCGGTGGGGATGAAGGGCACCCTTCTGGCTCTGTAATTCTTACCACATGTTTACGATGGAAAACAGGAATTTTAGGCTTAGTAATCTTTTATCTCACATGATCGTCCATTATTGGAAGGCAGCACTGGTTTCTGAGTCTGTCGTCTTATTGTGTGATTCATGGGGCTGCAATAAGACAAATGTATTGGGGATGGCTCTATGGCATACTGAGGGTGCTGGTTCAAGTCCTGACTGTTCTACTTTCGATCCAGTTCCCTGCTAACATGTCTAGGAAAGCAGCAAAAGATGGCCCAAGTACTTGGGCCCCAGAACCCACATGGGAGCCTTGGAAGAGGCTTTGTGATCCTGGCTTTGGTCTGGCACAGCCTCAGCCGTTGTGGCTATTTGGGAAGTAAATCAATGGATAGAAAATCTGTCCCTCCCTCTCTCTGTGTGCTTTACCTTTCCAATAAATCAATACATCTTGTAAAAAAAAAAAAAGAAAGAAAAAAGACAAGTGTGTCATCTTAGGGCAGAGCTGTATAGAATAGAGCAGTGATTTCCAAGCTCATCCATGGATGGAGAGCCAGTTGATTGTATTTAAATAACCCTGGAAATTCAGATTCCGTATATCTGAGGTAGACCCAGGATTCTGTGCTTTAAAAACTTGAGTGGGTGTTTGCTGGTCTTTGAAGTTAGGCCCTGGGCATCCACCATGGGCCTCAAGAAGTGACGGCTTGGTCTTAGCACGTCCTCCAAACTTGTGTGGGTTCTTAATGTCTTGCTTTCTTACTCGGCTGCACTCCCTAGGAGTCCCTGAGGTCCAGCCAGCCAGAGGAGAAGAAAGATGTTTCTCTTGATGTGGACCCTGCCAGCCCCTCTCCTCCCGGCAAGCTCTCCAGCCAAGGTGCAGACAGCAGTCTGAGCAGTGCCGATGGCAAGGAACAGCAGGAAAGAGGGGCCAGTCCTTGGCTGCCAGAGAAGGAGGAACATGGGAAGAGTGATCCTGCAACCCCCAGGAGTCCAGTGACTCTTGGCGTGGACCCCGAAGCCCGTCTGCCTGCCCATGCCTCTGTAGCACAGCCCCCAAAGGATCAAGTGGATGCAGAAGAGGAGGGTTCCCAAAGAGAAGAGGCAACACAGGAGCCAAAGAAAGAGGCTTCAGCTCTGAAAGAGAACATATCAGACAATAGTGAGGTAAGTTTCTGTGTCCCGTGGGCAGATGCCGGCCGAAGCCTTCCACTGCTCACTTCAGCCCCATGCCTCTGCCTCTCCCTGCACCTTCTTTATGGAGTCAGGCCCTGCGCTGGGCTGTCAGTAGCAGCCAGAACCCTTAGTAGTGACAAATATGCCCAGACCCAGCAAGCAGTAAGTCTGAATGAACCTGCTGACCTCCTGGGCTCGGAAACCTAGAGCAGAAGTCCTCTCTTCCCTTGGCACCCTCCTGGGATACTCATTGTTCTTGCCTCTCCTTCCTTTCCCTTCCCCACCCCCAATGTGCCTCCCTCTCCACTTTGCATGAGGAATGTTGCAGTCTAGTTCAGAGAGAGAGTGAGCAGAACATTGTGTGTGTGCTGGCAGACCACAGTTGGCAGTGCCCTGTCCCAGCTTAGGTGGTGGGTTAGATTACAGGAGGACTCAACTCCTGTGGCTGTTTCTGAACCAACCCAAGGCACGGACTGGTTGCTTTGGTAAGACCAGTCCAGCAATCTCCATGGATGGAAGTAGGTCCGAGTGGGAAGAACCCTTGGCATTTTAGGTTTCCCAGCCTTTAGTCCTGGTCTTCCAGGTGTATGGTGAGGGAGTTCATCCAAGTAGCCCTTACGACTTCTGGAAAAGAGAGTGACAAATATGCTTCATAGGAAATCATCAAGTGTTCCTGTTGCCAGTTCCCTTACCATCTATGCTGCATTTGACCCCTTGGGTGTGTAAATCTTTGCTGATTTAATTCAGAGTGGGTCTGGGCTATGTGGGCCCAGTGGGTGGAGACTGAGGCTTACATCTGTAGGGCAGCGTCCACAAGCCTCTTTTAGGTTTTCTGGAAGGGGTGAGTTTCACTTTGGGCTGAGCCCTGTCTTCCACCAGGTACTGAGTGGGAATTCCTGGGAGTGCCTCTGACCCCATGCCCTGCCTGGGGATGTTTTTCGGGGCCTCTGTTTCCCTAGGAGTTGGAGATCAGTGAACATGTAAAGGACGTACATCTTTTGGACTCCATGGATTCAGACCCCAAGTCCCTCTGTGGCCTGGTGAGTAGAGCAGAGGGACAGCAGTGGGTGGTGAAGAGCTTGGACTTGGAGTCCCCAGGAGGAGCGTATTTGCCAAGGATCACATTGTTTGTAAGTGGGGAGGTTGGCACTCGTATTTTGGGCGTATTAGTGCTACTTCCTTAACCCATGAACTCAAGATCATGGTGCCTGCTTTACAGATGCATTGTGAGAACAAAGCAAGGTAGAGAATGTCAAGCACGAGCATCTAAATGTTCAGTAACCATCAGCCATCAGTGCTTTCCTCATGTGTGACTGGCCTATGAAATCATTGGATTGTCTCTGCTGTAGCAAGAATGTTATGGAGTCTGGGAAGTTAGAGACTGCTGTACTGTGTTTATGGGATCCCCTGGCAGTGACAAGGAAAACGCAGGCTTTGTGCTGGGATGCCAGCATGTATGGTCTCCTTCCTGTCTAGCCTGCTGTGTGCAGGATCATCTGCCAGATACACACCTGAGGGGAGTGGTCAGGGTGCTTTTGGGCAGATGTGACCTCTGGAAACAGTCCTCCATCTGTCTTTCGGAGGCTGATCAGAAGGAAGGGATTAATGGGACAAGGTTAGGGATGAGTAGTAACGGTATGAGGGGTGCAGAGGAATTAGGGCGCTATGTGTTGCAGCCCCTTATTGTACCAGGGGCTTACGAGGCAGATGGCAGCTGTATTTAGTGGAGGAGGACTCAAACTGAAAGGGAACAATCTCACAGGCTAAGAAGGGACGACAGAAAGCCATTGTTGTTGGCAAAAATTTTCCATGAAGAATGGCCGTGTCATTGAACTCTCAGAAGCCAGGGCCGTGGCCCTTGTGAAGCAGCCACCCGTGTGCAGCAATGTGCCCATCAGCATTTTTCTTCTCTATGGGAGGACAGGCAGGAAGCTATGGACAGCAGGACCAGACCTGGTCTGGGCATCCCGCCATTTGTCAGGGCTAATGACAGAGCTGTCCCCATCAGCATGCTACTGGGTAGCAATCCTTCACTCCACCCAGCAGGGGTCTTAGGCTCAGGAGTGGCATGGTCCTGTGGTAGCCAAGGGGCAGCAAGGAGCTGGCACCAGAGTGGAGCACTCGCTGCCTATCACCAGTATGAATCTGTGGAGGAAGTGCCGCTGATTGATCCCTGTTGTCCAGAGAGGCGTTATGTGGAAAGGGGGAAGAAACCCACCAAGCTTCCTTTCCAAGCTGTACACTTTTAAAAAAAAATTTAAATTCTCTTTAATATTGCTTACGTAGTTGAGAGGAATGCATGCTCATATGGGCCTCCGATTAGGGTGGGAAAGGTCAAGGTGTGGGGGGAAGGTGAATGGGACAAATGTTTCAGTTCATTTTTCTCTCTTGTATCTGCTGGGAGGGGATGGGTGAGCGTTGTTCCTTGCTGTCAAACTACATCAGCACCCATGCAGATAGTCCTGTGATGCTGCCTTAGAGACCTGATGTGGGGAAGAAAGAATGTTCTGAGGATGTTACTTGAGTGGTTTTGATAGTGCTGAGACATCGTCAGTTTTGTTGCATCAAGGTTGAGAATATCTTGCCAAGGTATGTTGTTTGAGCAAGTCTACCTTAGTGCATGCACAGATCCAGATACTTGCTGCAAAGCTTGGTCAGGGGAGTTGTCCAATCTGTTCTGCTTTTCATCCTCTGATGAGGCACTTGACATTCTCTGTTAGTCAAGATGAGCTGGATGTCATGTTCTCTGTGCGATGTGCACAGTTTTGCTGGGCAGTTTTGTCTCCCTTCTGCTTTTCTGGTTGAGCACTGGAGTGGGAGAGACAGTTGAGAAGTAACAAAGTTTGCAGTTGTCATGGACAGAGCCTAGGCTGTAAAGTCAGCCCCTGGGTCCACCCGACCCGCAGCCCTCTTGCTCATCAATTGCAAGAACTTGGGTAAAGTGCTTCCTCACCTGCTTCTCCATCTCAGGTGGGAATAATTGCTTCAGTCTCACAGGGTTATCCCCCTGCCCCTGATAATTTTGCTGTGGAAAATCTGAAGTGCAGGGGGAAGTTCAACGAATTTTATAATACTCACTACCTAGAGTCCACAAGACACATTTTATCCTGATTTACCACATCTTTCTATCCAATTGCAGTGTTGTTCTGCAGGTTAAGTTAGTAGAGGTTGAAATGTTGGGGTGGTGTCTGGCATTGTCACATTGTCATAGATCCCTTCCTGGAAGGTTGGAGTTGGGGTGGGGATTGGAGGACAGGCCAGAGGGGCACTGACATCGAGACGGAGACAGCTCACCTCCCATCTCCACTGTCTCTAGGATTTCGGTTTCCGCAACCGGCTCTCGGAGCACCTGCTGGATGCGAATGTGCTTTCTCCAGTCCTGGATGGAGCTCACTGGGAGGTGAGTCTCTGTGGCCTGTCCCAGGGTGTGTTTCTGGAAGTCTGTCCCTTTTAGTTCACTCAGGCATGGCCCTGCCTGAGCCTTTGATAGGGCTTCTTACCATTCCTGCTCTGTTGCTGCTGTGAATTAAAGCAGTTTTCCTCCTCTACATTTGTCCGTTTGTCTATTCATTCAGCAGGAGAGGGTTGACCACCGCTTACTTGCAAAGTGCTGTGACTTTCAAGATCCTTTCTGCCTTCACCCCTCCATCCCTTCCAGCTCATGCTCCATCCCCCTGCCCCCACCAGCAGGGTCTGCCACGCTGTTCTCTGCGCCTCTGCTGCTCTGCCTGCTTCACCACTTCCCCTTTGGTCCTGTTGAGACAACCTCTGGCATATGAATCCGTCTGTTCTGCACTTTGCATCCCTCAGTGCTTCTTGTGTTTTATTGTATACTGCTAAATTTCTTTCCCCTGCCAGATGCAAGCTCTGTGTGGGCATGGTTGAAAGACAAATACTACCTAAACAGAGGTGTTGTCCATAAAAGACATCAAGCTGGGAACACCAGTTTCTTCTCTATGAGTTGGCTGAAAGAGAGTTCTGGCATGCAGTCTCTGCAGGTTTAAGGGAACACTTGGTTCAGAAATGTGTAGACTGCAACACATGCTGGGTTTACTGCGAGCCTAGCCTTGGAGTCCTTGATGAAATGCATGCTGGGGACTGGGTGTAGTTGCCTGGCTGGTTACAGTTCAGCCCTGCATGTTCCTTTTAGTGTTCTGGCTTATCAAGCCTTCTTGGGTCAGTGCACAGCCACCAGATTCCTGCTGCTTTGTGATCACCCCATGTGTGGTGCTTGAGGGAGATGAATTTACAAATCGGGGCAGGTGGGGCTAGGCAGCAAGAAGTAGATGTCTGCATTGGGAAGCCGTCGGGGCAGTAGGTAAGTCGGAGAGTCACTGAGGGTGGAAGGAGGCCAGCAGCTTTTTTGGGTCATGTTCCTCAACATAAAGTGGTAGTGGGGCTGGACTAGGATTTGATTCCCAAGAGGTACCCCTGAAGCAGCTGGTCCTGACAGAGGAAGCCCTTGAGCATGGCTGTGACCAGCCTCCCAGGATGTGGCATCACCAGGTGCTTGGGATGACTGACACCGAATTGGAGTGGGACTCAGCCCTAGCTCTCTGCCGTGCTTGGAGCTTGGAGAAGTCAAGCAGGGAAATGATTGAGCAGCAGCCTTGTAGGGCACACATAGATACAGCACTCCCTTTCTTTCCTGTGGACTTGGGACCATTTGGCTGTGTTCTTCAGGTCTCTCTAATGACAGGATCCAGGCAGAGGCTTTGAAACAAACTAGTTTTTGTTCATGAAAAATAGTTCTCACACAGCTTTATTGACAGGCGATAAGCAGCACATATTAAAGTTGATGTTTGGTGAGTGTTGCCATATGTGTACATCTTTGTAACCCTCACCACAATCAGTATATGATCTTGATGAATCATGGACATGATGGATTTTATAGTAAAGTAAGGAAATCATCAGCGCTTTATTTCAAGTGATGCATAACGTCCAAGTCCCCATTTCCTGCAGGCCTCCTCCCACAGGTGGGGCCTGGGAGCAGTTGCCATTAACATTTCCCTTATATTTTTTCTGTGATCCTTTTTTTCAAAATCGGTTTTCTATTTGTTTTTCCTCTTTACAAAAAGTGGAATTATGCCACCAGAAGTGCTTGGCAGCATACTCTTTCAATCAAGGAACACATCAGTAGCTGCTTCTTGGTTCCTTCACACTGAGCCATCTTTGGGGTTCTTGGTGTTGGCTGCATAGTCTTCTGCTGTGTGAATGCACCCTGATGCAGTTCACTGGGGACTGACCTTAAGCAAAAACAGGCCCCTGCAGTTAAGTTAGGACTGGGAAATGGGTGTCGTGGGTAATGTTAGGCCAGAGCACAGGATACACTTGCTTCTTCTCCTGTCAAAAGAGCACTGATCTCATGTGATCTAGATGAGGGAAAAGCCAGGCTGGGCTGACTGTTCCTACTAGTGTAAGCATAAATTAGAGTGGGTGAGGGTTGGTTGGGCATCAGCTGGCAGAGGCTAGCACTGGGAGCTAATTCTGTCAAGTTAAACCGCAGAACCACCTGGAGAGTGCATAATCTGGGAGTGGGAGTGGCCTAGTAAGGAAATAGTGGGCACCTCCCTCTTGGGTTACCACTCCCACTGAGAAGCATGAAAACCAGGATTGGAGCAGGCATGGCTAGACAGAATAGCACCTGCCAGCATGTGTGTGGGCTGGATAGTAGGGCAGGTCAGGTTAAACTAGGCTTCAATGTCCATTGACGTGCACGAGAGCTAAATGGGATGTGGGACAGACTGAACAAGTCTGTGGTACATAGTGGCAAGCATGGGAACAAGGGTAGGGGACAGGCTTGGTGGGGGTTATGGGGAGTCGCCCCGACTAGGCTGCAGCTCCCACTGGTTTGCATGAGGGCCGAGTATGAAGTGGGCAGGATTGGGCTGGACTGCAACACCCATTGGTTCACGTGGAAGACAAGGCTGGAAACAGAACTGACCCAGCAATTGCAACCACCAGCATATGCATAAGCTAATTGGGGTCATGGACTGTGCTGGACGCTGTACTGGCAAGCACACACAAGAATCAGGTCTGGGATCACCTCAGATGAAGTTTCTCTGGTGATCTTTCCAACTGAATTGCTGATCTCAGAATCCCATGTAGAGACTACGTCAGCCAGTGGATTCTGAAGACTTAATCATGCTTGGAACAGTGAGATTGGCAGCAATTCATAACTGTTGAACTATCAAAATTGCATGAGCAGGACCCCTGGCGCATGCCCCACACCAGGGACCTGGGTCGGGTGGGAGGCTGCGTGGGGCTTTTCCCTTTATCTCTCCCCTTACCCTGGATACAGAAAAAAAACCTGGTATTAGTGTGGAAACAATGGTCTTACCCACTTTCCTGTGACATTTGACCCTTTGTACCCTAATCAACTATGTAAAGATTATTAAAATAAAAGAATTTTAAAATTAAGAAAAAAAAAGAGCGCTTATTTCCTTCCCTCTCTGGCTCTCTGAATTCTGTTCTCTGGCAACAGATTCTTGGGAATAAGTAAAACTCCACCCAGTGGACTTTCTGTCAGGTTGCTTCCCCTTTTCCCTGGCAGTGCCTAGTTCAGTTTAGTGGGGAAATGCAAAGACGGAGTGAGAAGGCAGCACACCGGAAGACTGGGACCACAGTTTACCCTCCTGTCTTTATCCACCTGCTACTTGACACGTCATTTGGGAGTCCTTCCCGACTCAGGGCTCAATTCCCACATTTTCATTACAAATACCCTCACTTTCTTGCTCTTCTTATAATTTAGTTTGTTAATGCAACCAGCGTGTGCAAATTTTTTTCTTTCTTGTTATTTTCCTTGAAAAGCGGGAGAAGGTGTTTGATGAGCTTGTGGAGTTTGCGGGCGTAGACAAGTTGTGAGCCGGTGTGAGGAGGAGGTGGGGGTAAGGCTGCATGCCTTACTGTCTGCAGGCTCTGCTCGGGCTGATGCGATGAGGAGTGGCAGTCCTGGCAGGGAGCCCTTCTGCTGCAGGCACTGGGAGCTACTCACTGGCTGCACCGCTATTTTTAATGTGATTTGGAGGAGCCGGGGGTGCAGTCCACACTCTGCCCTTCGTCGCCCATCCAGATGGCAGTGTTGGCCCCAGCTGCTGGGGCTCAGGCTGCCAATGGTGAGATATAGGGACTGGCAGGCACACGGCTGGGGACCCTGCTGGGAAAGACAGAGTGGGCTGTCTCGTGCCCTCCCTCTCCCATTGACCTCTGTGTCCCAGAACAGACGGGGCTCCTGTTGGTGTGTGGGCGGACGGAGGACAGAAGGAGTGCAAGTCCTAGAGTGGGAACTGGCAGTCTCAAAGCCTCTTTTTTTTTTCTTCCCTTTTTCTTTTGCCTCAGGCTGGAGTGGAGGCAGAGGAATGTGGGAAGAGGAGCTAACACTGTGGGATGGCTTGCATCAGGTCCACGATCTAACTTAGATTTAACTTAATCCTCACCACGGCTCCCTGCTCACCCGTGAGGACTGTTTGCTATCCTATTTTCCAGTGGAGGAGACAGACTTCCCAGGGAGCAAGTGCTAGGAGAAATAGTTAATCTCAGGCTGACTGTACTATCCTGCCCCTGTGGAAAACATTTGAGGAAACATTTGAAATAATCAAGAATAATTTTTTTTCAGTAAGTTTGCTAAATTTGCCCAGACACCTATGCTTTAAAATTTGTGTGCGTGCATTTTTTTTTTTCGTCTTGGGATGGATGGGAAGGAAGTGGCAAGGGGATAGTATTGTCTACCTCCTGGCCTGGGTCTTGCAAGGGGGCCAGAAATGGAACCATGGGAGGACCATCTGCCCCGCTGTAGGGACCTGATGGTCTCCTCCTCTTCTCGCAGTTGCTCTCTTGTTCCACCTGGACTCTGCCTCTTTAGAATCTTTTGTTTCGAACATGCTTGCCTGACTTAGCTCTAGCTGCTCCCTATGTCACTGGCACCATGGATGCAGGCCTCTGGATCTGGGATTTCTGCAGATAGCTCTGGCTTCCAGCAGGAGGCAGTATTTTCCTTTTTCTTGCATGTTCGCCTTCTGCCTCTGGCTTCTAGCTTTGTGTGCAGCAGCTGTGCTCATCTGCCTCACCTTCTAATTGTGAACATGGTGGTGCTGGTGGCTTGGCCAACAAAATACAGGAAACTTCATTGGGCAGCCCCTAGCCCTTCGTGTCTGTGTCTTATTGTGGTCTCTGTCCTCTCAAGCCATCTCTCAGAGCTTTTTGCTAAGTGTGGTACTCGACAGGAGTTGGGGAGGGGGCTGCACCCAAATGCAGCCTCCGCTTTCTGCTGCTTCTTGTCTCCAGGTCCAGAGGTTAGGAAGAGAGCACCAGAATGACAGCCAGTCCAGCCAAGAGGAGCTGCAGAGCAAGCAGTCCAACGGCTCGGAGAGGTATAGTGTGAGGGAGGCTGCCCTCCGGGGCCTGGGGCAGGGAATACCTTCCAGATGCTGTGGACTTGAACAGACTTCTGAGTTTTGGTGGTTGGCAAGGCCCGGAGTATTCTTGTCTGAAGGCCCTTGGTGAACTGACTGGGGAACTTTGGAAAGAACTAGTGTGTGTGTGTCTGTAGGAATTAACTTCTCATTGTGCACCAGGACACGCCATGTGAAGGGCTGCTTAGAGCAATTGGTGGGGCCTTTTGCGGGTGGGGTGGGTCAGGGCTGTGTCTTTCTCACTGGAGTGGGGTGATAATTACCTCACTGGAGTACAGTGATGAAGCTGTGTGAATCTGGTCGTAGGTGGGGCTGAAGCAGCCTGCTAGAAGTTGGGGAGAGTTACACCTGTGGTTAGCTGTGCAGCTCAGAGCTCTGAACCAGGGCACTGCTACATCAGGCGTGGCTGTGTTCTCTGTGTGTGTGAGAGAGAGATAGCGATTGAGCGAGGCTATCAGCTCATTTGGTTTGAGTCTGTCATAAGGCCACCATCCTGCAGGTGGAGGGAGACTGCATTCCACTTTTTGGACCTTAGAAAGCCATCAGTATTCCTTAAAGCTATAGCTCCATGTGTTCTCTGTCATCTGACCACTTGAGTCTTGCCATCTCTTTTTCTTCCCATTTCTACTCATTTCTTCCATCCTCCCTGGTCCTGGTTATCTGATGATGGTAAACTTGGACCAAGGAATGCACTTGTGTGTCCAGCTCTTGCTCCTAGACTGAGCACATGCAGTGACTGAGTGCAGGCTGAGCGAAAGCAGAGTTCTGGAGGGAGCCCCTCCCTGCGGCGTATCCAGCATTCTCTGTAGCAGGGGCTGGGGTCAAGTGTGGGAGAAGACATTGACCTCGGAAGGTTCACTGCTTTCCCAGGTTCTCCTGCTGCCCTCTGAATGCCCCTCTCGTTGGCCTACCCAGATTATATCCTCCACTGCTGACCAGGGCACGGCTCCAGAGTCCACTTCACAGCTGGGACACTGAAGAAGGGCCTCTGAAGGCCCCCAAAGGGCCGGAGGCAGTGGAACCGGGAGAGGAGTCCATATCTGAACCCGTGCCACTGCTGGCCCTCAGGAGGTAAGGGGGAGAGGGAAACGCCCTGGGTGGGGTGTGGTTGGCATTGTGCTGGTAGAGAGGGCAGAGCTGAGGAGGGAGGTAAGAACCGGGGCAGGTTATTACCTGAACCAGAGCCCTGCTCACTGATGTATATAAGCAAATGTGCTTCCTAATCCCTAGTCCAGAACTGAATCTGGGGTGCCCAGTCTGACCAGAGGAGCACCAAGGACTCCTGCACAAGGAGGTTCTCTTCTCTCCCATCCGCCTCAGGCAGAGAGTCTGTCATCCTGGCTGCCCTAGTCCTGTCAGGAGAGCTGTTTGTCTCAGGCTTTCACTTTAAAGATTCACTCCACCTTGGGTCACCCAGCAGCCTTGCTGGAGCCTCTGTGTTGGGCCCACAGGGGAGGGAGGGAGGGCAGGAGAGCTAAGAAGACCTTCATAGCCCAGCCTGCTCTAGGGCCCAGTATCTGCTTGCAGGTCCCCTGTGCCCCTCCCTGGCAGGAAGCCACAGGTCTTAGAACTCATCTGGTCAGAGTGAGTTGCCAAGGTAGCTGAGAAGCAGGGATGTTCAGTCAGCAGCAACCAATGAACACCTGCTGTGTGCAGAACTGTCCCTTGGGTGGCATAACCACCCTGCTCTCCACATGGGCAGGAGGCTCTGGGCTTCATGCCGTAGGTGAGGGGAGAGACAGAGAGCAGAGGGGACGTTGGTGCCTCCAGGCAGGGTAAATGTCCTTGTCCCCATCACAGCCATTTGACCTTGCCCAGGGTGTCCGGAGCCTCTGGCCTTCCTCCTCACTTTAACATGGTTGCTTCTCTATTATATTCAAGGGATCAAGCCCACAGCTCACCTGCTGCCCATGAGAAAGGCACAGAGCAGCTCTCCCAGGCCAAGGAGCTGGGCCCTGGCCAGGAAGAGGCCAAGGAACTCAAGGACAAGGTGGTGGTCAGCTCCACCCCGCCAGTCTCGCCAGAGGTGTAAGAGCCAGCTTTGTGTGTCTGTCTCTGCCTTGTGCTGTGTGTACACTGTCTGTGCCGTTTACCCCTCAGTGCTGGGGAGGGATGCCTTAGCTATGGCTCAAGACCCCCAGCCTCTGCTGGGATCTCTGACACTTTCTTTACCCAGGCAGTTTCAGGTCACCCCACGTTCTAACGAATGCCCTGTTCCCTTCCCGAGTCTTAGGCCTCCTAACTTCCTTTTTGCCCATCTTTAGAGCTGTATTAGGCATAGGTTGGCTTTCGGGCTCTTGTTGGGAGGGGTCCTGTGCCAGTCAGCTGAATCAGGAGGTCTGAGAGCAGAGGGCAGGAGTTGGGTGGGCCCAGTGGCAGCACATACTGGGGTGTGTGTGTGTGTGTGTGTGTGTGTGTGTATGCGTATGTGCATGCGTATGTGTGTGCCTTGTGACCAGAAGAAGGACCTGGGAGCCAGGAGCACCTTCCCCTTTGCCATCCCAGCATCTGTTATGAGGGTTTGCAGAGAGAGGCTAAATGAATACAAACTGCTGTGTGGAACAGGAGTTGACACAAGATGGCTTCAGTCCTGTTCCCAGCTGTGCTGGTGGTAAAACCCTTACAGGATGCTCCTGCCCTCTGTCCCCCATCTCTCCCCTCTCTGCTTTCCTCTACACATCTCCAAGCTACATGGAGGCCCACCTGGAACGACCATGCTGTTTCAGAGTCTGCCCTTGCATCTCACTGAGACTAATAACCCGAGAGCTCAGCCCAGAAACCAGACCTGCCCTTGGGCTCTTGCACTTCCCAGGCTGTCACCCAGGTCTCCTGGGCATGGTTTTACTGCCATGGACCCAAGCTAGGAGTTTGGAATACCAGATCTGTAAGGCCATGGAGAAGAAACCCACTGGAAAATGGCCCTGTTCATCTGCCTGCCTGCCAGGTGTGCAGGCAGGCTTGCTGGTGTGTGCTGCTGGGACACACGCCACCACGTGGTCCCACAGCCATCTTTCCACAGCATCTGTCCCGAGAGCTCCACATAGCTGCACAGCCCGCAGGGGAGTGAGACATTAAAAGACACCATCTCGGGGGAAAAAAAGAGAGATGTTTTCAGCCAAGGTTGGAAATGAGTTGGAGGGTTGATGAGGCGGAGAGCCGCAGTGGGGGGAAGCTCTTTCCGAGGGCAGGATTCTCCAAGGAGATAGCAGCCACATCTCCTAGCTCTGCTTCAGTGGGGGCTGCGTCAGGGGACTTAGAGGAGGCCAGGGTTTGGAGGGAGGGAAGAAATGGTACTAGGATCAGGCAAGAATAGCAGCCATAACTCCTGACTGCTTCTGGTCCAAGTTCTGGTTTTTGGAAATGTATCACTGGGATGATGTCAGTAGCCTCTTCTGTCTCCCTCTCTCTCTCTAGGCTCCAGAGCCTGCAGGGGGAATTCCTAAGCCTTTGTTCTGCTCCTACTCCTTACCTTCTGTCTGCTGCAGAACAAGGGCTGGAGGCCCAGGGGAGTTCTAAGTCCTCAGCAGAGAGGACACTCCCCTCGGTCCCTGCCCCACATCCAATTCTCATGCATTCCACATGTTCCTGCTGAAGCCAACAGCCTCAGGGTCAGGCTCCCAGCAGCCTGTGCAGCCTGCAAGAGGGGTGTGGCTATGTAGTGAGCCCATTCTTTGCCATAAGGTGCGTGGAGGCCTGGAACACAAAGATATCCTGGCCTTTGGGACAACCACTGTGGGAGACAAAGGACATCAGCTTATGCTTCCATTGCTCCAGATTTTCCCAGGGCTTTTCTTTGGGTGTTTCTGTCAAGAACCAGAATGCATGCAAAATACCAGTCTGCATTGCTATAGACATCCTTTTATTATTATTATTATATTTTTGACAATCTTTACACAGTTAATTAGAGTAAAAAGGTTCAAGGGCTATAGGGAAGTGGGTAAGACTATTATTTCCATCTTGTTTCTTTCATGTATCTGAGATAAAGGGGGATATTGAGGGAAAAGCCCCACCCAGTTTCCCACTCACCCCAGGTCCCGGATGTGGAGCATGCTCTTAGATACTTGCTCAAGTGGTTTTTGATAGTTCACCAGTTATGAATCGCTGCCAGTCTTGCCACTCTGAGCACGATGAGGTCATTGAAGAATCCACTGATTGACACAGTCCATCATAGTGTCTCTGTTTGCCCAGTATTTCACTGCCAACACATAGCTGAGGTGGTTGATTGAGTTGTTCTGTCTTCTGTCTTTTCTTGGTTAGGGTTCTGCATCTGCATTTCGATTGGGGAGATCCTCAAAGAAACTTTGTCTGAGGTATTCCCAGACCAGATTCTTGTGTGTTCTAGCAAGCACAGGGCCTGGCACAGTCCATCACCCCAATCAGCTGGCGGTTGCAATTGCTGGGTTGGTTCTGTTTTCAGTCCCGACTTCCACTGGAACCAATGGGTGTTGCAGTCCAGCCTGGTTCTGCCCAGCACACACTTGGCCCCCACACAAACCAGTGGGAGCTGCAGCCTAGTCAGGACGACCCACAATAACCCCCACCAGGCCCGCCCCCTACCCTGGTTTGCCAGTATGTGTAGCAGTAGTCCAGTCTGTCCCACATCCCATTTGGCTCTCGTAGATGTCAATGGGTATTGAAGCCTAGTTCCATCTAACCAGCTCAACTATCCAGGCCTCACGGATGTTGTTGGGTGCCTCTCTGTCTAGCCACCCCAGCCCCCATCCTATTTTTCGTGCCCTCCCGTGGGAGTGGTAACCCAAGAAGGAAGAGCCCACTATTTCCCTCCCAGGTCTCTCTCATTCCCGGTTTATGCACTCTTCAGGTGGTTCTGTGGTTTGACTTGACAGAATTAGCCCCCGGTGCTAGCTTCTGCCAGCTGATGCTGAGCTAAGCCCAAACAACCCTCACCCACTCTAATTTATGCTTGCACCAGTAGGAACAATCAGCCCAGCCTGACTTTTCCCTGACCTAGTCCACCTGAGGCGCACAGGTGTTGTAGCCCTGCTTAGTCTGGTCTGTCCCCATCCCAGCTCATGCTCTCCAGTGGGAGTAGCTGTCCGGTAAGGGGACCCTCCCTTATTCCCCTGCTGGCTCCACCCCCCTCCCTGCCTGGTTCTCACATGTGCTGGTTGGGTGCTGCAGTTACATCTGGTACAACCTCACCTTGGCATTCCGAATTGTGCACTGGTTTTTGTTGTGACCGAACCTGGCCCAGCCCACCACTCTGTTCTGGTGTTCGGATTTGCCAGTGGATGATGTGAATTGATTCAGCCTGGTCTGGCCCCGACACATGCCAAATGTATGCCAGTGGGAAACTTTCCATGGCCTATTCTGAGCTGTTTCCTATCATGCTTCTTGCGCTTACCTGCAGGGACTGTGTCCTGCCAGAGGAGTTGCCCAGGCTCTTCCATCAGAACCTCTCCCAATGCCAGATTTTGCGCATACCAGGGGGTCCATGAGCCAGCACTACTCAGTTCACCTCCTGTCCTAGCAGGAACAGTGGCTTTTCCTGACTGGCCTTCAGGCCAATCTGGTTCTTGCTGTTGGATGTTTCAGCCCAGCCATGGCTTGTATAGATATCCTTTTAACCAACATAAAATAGTCCTTGTCAACTACCTGTGTATCCAGGTTAGCTCTGAGTTCCTTTTACCCATTTCCAAACACTGAATTAACTCTTTGCCACTGGAACCATGCTGCCCCAGGAAACATGGAATATGGTGGTCCTGGGATCTGCTTGTTACATGTTTGGCAGGTTGTCCCCTGTCCATTCCTGAACCTCTCTGGACTATTGAAGGTCTCAGGGCCAGGAGACATCCTGCCGATTCTCTCACAGGTTCATAAGCACTCTACACTGGGGAAGCCAACACTGTTCTCTGGGGATTGACATAGCAGGGAGAGTGCTAATGGGGAGTGAGTGACTCTGGGGAAGAATCCAGTAGGGCCAGGGCTTCACTTTCTTCCTGCAGCTGCCCATTGAACCAGGGTTTTAGGGCTTGGCCTTAGACCATGACCTCCCAGGTCTTTGGGCTGCCTTTCTCCCTAGCTGTTGGGGCCTTAACCTGGGTAGGTGACTCCTGATTGTGGGCCCTCCTTCCCTGTGTGAATCTTGATGCCCCAAGGTGGGTGGACACCAAGATGGTAGTGATGTGCCATTCCCATCCTAACAGGCCATCTCGGGAGCCTGCGGCTGCACAACAGCTCTCAGAGGCTACCCTAAAGGTCATGGAAGAGGCGGTGGCCCAGGAAATGGAACAAGACCAGAGGCGGCTGCTGCAATTGAAGCGAGAGAAGTTGCAACAACTGCAGGAGAGGCTGTGGCGAGAGGAGGAAGAAGAGATCCTCCAACTTCACCAACAGAAAGAGAAATCTCTCAGGTTCTGCCCTTCCCCTAAGGCCTGCTCCCTGGGGGCCTCGCAGGGACTGAGGAGCTAGGAGAACCGACCCAGTAACTTTGGCTTCGATCTCATTGGTTAGACCTAGTTGCAAAGGGAGCTGGGAACTACAGTCCTTCAACTGGTTTCTTTAGCTGTCAGAGGAACATCTGGGATCTATTAGTAGCAAAACGGGGGGACTGAAGTTTGTGGTTATCTCCTATCCTTTCAGCAGAACATTTAAGAGTGGTGAAGGATTACTCTTTAGAACACACATAGCAAAATGTGTGTAAGCAGACATCTGTGGTTAATTTAGAGAAGATGAAGCAGGAAGCCACAACTTGGGCCCCAGGAGCTGGTGCATCGCTGTAGGGGCAGTCTCTTTCACTAGCCCAGCACAGGATCCACCAACCTGGGGTCTGGGTTTCTCTGGTGCCCTCCTGGGTGCCCTGCCAGGGAGCATTCCAAAGAACAGGCCTTGCCCCAGCATCGTCCTGGAGCCAGCTGAAAATTAGGGTGGGGGTCTTCTCCAGCAGGTGTGATGCAGTGCACTGGAGGTGCCTTGACTTGCAGCTGGCCTAGCTGGTCTCCTATTACCTGGGCCTGGGTGACTGTGTAGTCTCTGTTACCCACTCCCCTCAGCCGCTGAGGCCAGAGGAACCTTCCTAAAGCCCTCCTGATTTGTGGGAAAGGCCAGCATGCCACAGGTCTGGGAAATGAGTTGCTCTAATCACAGTGGCCTTTGTTTAACTTTCAATTGAGAGCAGCCATTTCAGCCGGTCTGGACCAAGAGATTTCTCTGTGGGTACTGCCTTGCTGGCTTCAAAATAGCCTCGTGTGAGAGCCCTGTTTCTGCTTATGTTCAAGCCCTTATTCAGAGGTAGAACCTCTTCCTTCCTGCTGGGTAGCTTCTATGCGGAAGAAGTTTCTGGAAGCCACAGCTGTTTGTGTAGCAAATATTTCTTGAATGAAGGCATGCAAGAGGACAGGCCAGCCAGCCTTTAGTTTCTTAGGTAGCAGAACAAAGAAATTGAACTTAACCTCTACAGTGCTTTCCAGCTCTGTGTCACCATAGGATGAAGAGAGGGTTTCTAGGTGAAATCTATGAAGGTTTTTGCTTGACTCATATTTTTTCTCGTATTGGAAGAGAATAGAGGTATATATAACTTGAAAACAATCTTAATTCTTTTTGGGCTTTGGAGCTTGCTACAGAAGCTTTTGAAGGAAATGTCTTCTGGATTGGGTTTTGTTTGCACTTGGACTTCCACCCAGTGCACGGCACACATCTGCTTGTGTGGGCTGAGGAGTTACCCAGAGGGGATGTGTGTGTTAGGTAGAGTCAGCATGTGCTCGGGATGACATGGGCATCATCGTCAGTCTGTAAATGAGATGGTGTTCAGGGGTAACCAAGGTTTAGAGTTTGAGCCTGGTTGATGCTGTTCAAATTCAACATCCATTTGTTAGGCATTTACCGTGTCCAGTGCCTGGGGGTATAACAAAGTTTAAAGCAAGATTGTTTCCCTGGAGAAGTTTCCAGACTTGGAAGGAAAACACAAGTACAAATAAGGTGCAATTTGTTGTGTGCTACAGAAGAGCTGGGTAAGAGAGGTCATTTCATAAAGTGTGTTGGAGACAGGAACGTGAACCCATGAACTGAGAGGCAGTTAGGAAGACTCTCCGGAAACGAGAGGGCTTAGTTACTGAGCAAAGAATATGAGCTTGCCAGATAGAGATGGAAAAGCTGCATGCTAGGCAGAGCAGCCAGCAAGAACGAAGGCCCAGAGGCAGGCAAGAGTGTGATGGCGTTCAGAGACAGTGGCTCAGCAGCTGTGCCCAAAACTCAGGTGACAGGCCGGGGAGGGAAAGCGTGTGTAGCCAGAGCCAGGCTGTGTTCTTGGAGTGCACGCTGCGGGGAGTGAAGCTACAGGCAGCCCTTGCCAAGATGCCCTGCTGCAGCCAAGGACAGCTGGAGTTCACAGCCTTCTTGTTTCCCTGGGATGTGTTGTAGGGCAGCTTTCTGGGGCCACCCTGTGTTCCCTACAGCAAGCTTGCCTTGCCTTGCCTTCCAGTTCTCTAAAAGAGCAGCTGCAGAAAGCCACCGACGAGGAGGAGGCCCGGATAAGGGAAGAGGAGAGCCAGAGGCTGTCTCAGCTCCGAGCTCAGCTCCAGTCCAGTACGGAAGCAGATGAGGTCCAGATGAGGTGAGTACACGTGGTGAGCTATCCGCCCCATGGAGCTGGCCTCTGAGGGCCCAGGCCCAGACCCAGGCCACTGTGTTTCCCCAGGGCCACACAACAGGCTTCCCTGCAGAGGCTGAGAGAGGAGTTGGAGTCTTTGCAACAGGCTGAGAGGGCCAGCTTGGAAGAGAAAAGCAGGCGGCAGCTGGAGCTGCTCCGAGAGGAGCTGGAGGTTCGGGAGAAGAGTGAGCAGGCCGCCCTGAGAGCCGGGATGGAGCAGGCTCTGCAGCAGCTGAGGGAGCAGCTGGAAGTGGAGCGAAGAGACGTGAGCAAGTTGGCTGGGGGTCTCCTTTTGGACGTGCCTCCCTCTAAAGGGACTCGGTCTGGAGGAAAATGAAGGACAAACCTGTGGTGGGTGGGTGTGGTGGGCGATCAGGTAGAGCATGGCTATGACACACTCCCAGGCATGGGAGACTGACCCTGTCTCTTCAGCATTGCAGAGGGCACAACAGATGTCTAGAGCACCCTGTTCGTCCCCACCCCTGTGCCCATGGCTGGGGCAGTAGAGTGTTGTTAATGGCAGGAGGCCGTCGGAAGTCTGAGACCAGAGAAACCTGCCTATGGGGCATCTGTGTGACTTCCTTTGCCCCCCTTTCTATTCTGCCTTAGAATGAGAAGCTGTGATATGGAAGCGTGTTTCTCCCTTGTTCCTCTCACCGCCTCTCGCTCTAGTCAGAGTGTGCTCAAAGTGAACAGGCTTGTAGGCTGTTTGACCTTTGGCTGAGGGGTGGGGCTTTAGCCATCAGGCACAGAATAACAACCTGAACATGGGGAATGCCACTGTGCTACAAGTGCTCAGAGAGGATGTGCTAGCCTCCCCCGCCCTCAGACTTGGACCCCCTTTGAAGTTGTATCATCTGGGTACCTGTGGCCTAGCCCAGAGACCCTCTCAGGCCCCTCTCTCACCTCAGGCACTGGCAAGGCTGGAGCAAGAGCACAGCACCGAGCTGGAACAGCTCTGTTCCTCGCTGGAGACCAAGCACCGGGAGGTGAGGTGCTGCTGGCCTTGGCACACAGTGGTAGGATCTGGGTACCCTGGGCCCTGAGTTTGAGCCTCCATGGTCCCCTTCATCACGGGTCATCAGAGGACCTTAGTCCCATCTCTGGCCATTGGGAACGAGACCCCCTAACTCTCCAGGCCCCCCAGGCCCCACAGAAATGAGCTCCTATGCGAGCTTAGCTATCTCAGAGGGTCACAGCTGCCTGCGTATTCGGGGGTGCCTCAGGTGCTGTCTAGCCTGCAGAAGAAGATGGAGAAAGCCCAGCAGAGAGAGGAGAGCGAGCTGCGTGAGAGCCTGGGGAAGGCAGAACAGCGAGCCTACCAGAAGCTCCACCAAGTGATGGAGTATGAACAAGAGGTGAGTGCTGCTCCACCCGGGCCCGTGTGGCGAGCCACCTGGGCTCTGTACCCTCCTGTGTGCGGTGTGGTGTGTATGTGTCAGGAGGCCAGGGGAGGTGCCTGAGACCCAGAGTGCTGGTCTGCCTCACTTCCTGCCTGCTGTACCTCTCACCGTCTGCCCTTCAGCTCAGCAGCCTCCTGCAGGAGAAGCGCCAGGAGGTGGAAAGGGAGCATGAGAGGAAGATGGACAAGATGAAGGAGGAGCACCAGCGAGTGGTGACTGAAGCCAGAGAGCAGTATGAAATTGAGGTAGCATGGCCGTGTCCCCCTGTGTGGGTCCACATGTGTGTGCAGCCTGGGAAAAGGGACAGACTGTGGTTGGGGATCAGGGAAGGTTTTCTTCCGTGACACCCTGCGATGGTGAAGTTGGTTTGTACCTCTTGCTTTGGGAAGATGACTGGGGTGACCCGGCTTTTACTATGCACCAGGCGCTGTTCTCTGCTCTTTCTGGGTAAAATCCATTAAGTCCTCATGCCTGCCTTAGGAGACAGGTGCTCTCTCGTCTCATCACTGAGACTTAGAGAAGTTCATGAACGATTCTGAGAGCACTCCCAGCTCCTAAGTGGGGAGCTAGGCTTCCAGTTCCAGCTGACTGAGCTCAAAACCTTCTGTCTCACTCTGACAGTATGCTGCCAAGTCATCTAGAAACAGACTACCTGGGGACAGTGACCATTTTTAGACTGCCCATCCCCACCACTTGGCCTTATGGAGTAGTCTCAGTCACTTTGAGCAGACCCCAAGCTGAGTGCGTGGGGTAGCCGACTTGAGCCCAGATCCAGGCCTCTGGGATGGATTTTAGGCTCCTGGCCCCATGAGGGAACCTGTATCCCAGGTTCTTCCTACATTCTTGGCGACTTGAGCCGCAGAGCGAATGAGGTTCTGGGTGATAACAGCATGCTGTCCTCACTGCTCGCTCTCCTTTACGAGCTGGTCTTAGGGAGCTGATGGTGGGCTTCATCCTACAGAGCCAAGGCTGCGTAGGTTGGGGCATGACTCTTGGGGTATGTGGGACCATTGCTATTTTCTAATGGCGGTCCTCTCTCCCCTCAGGAGAGGAAGCAGCGGGCCGAGCTGCTGGCGCACCTGACAGGTGAGCTGGAGCGCCTGCGAAGGGCCCACGAGCGAGAACTGGAGACCATGAGGCAGGAGCAGGACAAGCAGCGTGAGGACTTGCGGCGCCGGCAGCGGGAGCAGGTGAGGGGCTGAAGCAGGGCCGGCTGAGCCCACTGCCGCCTCCCCATGCAGAGCAGGAGAGCCGTGTGGCCATGGCATGCTGGAACGTGACAGCTTTAGGAGTGGGGCCACTCTCTGGCCAGCTCCAAGCTGGGTCATCTTCGTTCCTCTGGTCGTTGGGCCAGGAAATGGGCCTGGGGCTAGAAGTACAGGTGAACCACATCAGATCTTGAGTTGACGCCTTTGCCTGTCCTTGCTCCTGCTGCATGTAAGGAAGGTTTAGTGCCTTCCCAGGTGTGTTTGTGTGTGTGTCTGGGGAGAGGGATAGGAGCATGCTGGGAGGAAGCTTGGACCTAGCTAGTTGGTCATGGTATGATGCAGAATGTTCTGAAAGTCCCCATCCTAGGTCCCCTCACTGATGTCTTGCGTGCTTTTTACTCTTAGTTTTTCTTTCCACATGTGTTTGTGGGCAGGAAAGGAAATTCCATGAGTCAGAGGTGGAACTTGAAATGAGAACTAAGGATGTCAAGGCCAAACTGGCTCAGCTGGACATGCAGGTGAGGGAGCCGGGGTGGACAACAGCATTTGCAGGCATCTGGGACCTTCGGGGCTGTTGCTCCAGGCATAGGCGGGTCCCTGCCTCTCACACTGGGGACTGGACTTGGCCCAAGGCCCTGTCTCTGGACCCCTACCAGGAGAAGACTGCCCGGAAGGAGAAGCAGCAGTTGCTTGACGTGCAGAGGCAGGTGGCTCTGGAGAGAGAGGTTTGTCTCCCTCTTGTCCTGCTGCCTCTGCTTCCTCCCCATTCTCTTCCCTTGCTCTCCTCCCTATACCCCATCTCTGTCCAGGGCAGGGCAGTGCTAAACTACATTGACTAAGAGTCCACAAATTGCACTGCTCTGAGGACTCCAACTCAGGGTCCTCAGGGTGTGGGGCTGTGGTGGGAGTACTGGAGTCTGCATCCTCCTATCCATCTGATCCCACTGTCCCCTACTCAGTCCCTGCATCCTCCTATCCATCTGATCACACTGTTCCCTGCCCAGTCCCTCTGTCCTATCTGATCCCACTGTCTCCTGCCCAGTCCCTCTGTCCTATCTGATCCCATTGTCCCCTGCCCAGTCCCTCTGTCCTATTCATCTGATCTCACTGACCCCTGCCCAGTCCCTCTGTCCTATCCATCTGATCCCACTGTCCCCTGCCCAGTCCCTCTCCTATCCATCTGATCCCACCGTCCCTTGCCCATTCACTCCCAGCTTCTCTAACCCTCTAAAGCAGGCTGTTCCCTGACATCTTCTGGTGCTTCCGTCTTCCCTTTTGTCCCCACCCCCCCACACTTCCCCAGGAAGCCACAGTCACCCATCGGCACCTGGAGGAGGTGAAAAAGGAGCACACACACCTGATGGAGTCGAGTCGGCAGCTCCGAAGGGTTCTCGACGAGCTCCAGGCTCGCAAGTTAGAGCTGGAGTCTCAAGTGGGTCTGCTCCAGGCTCAGAGTCAGAGACTGCAGAGACATGTCAGGTGGGGTGGGTGCCCGGGACCTCTCACCCACCTCCCTCCACCACAGCATGGCCCGGTCTCACCCTCTGTCTCCACTGCCCTGTTCCCTCACAGCAACCTGGAGGCTGAAGTTCAGAGGAAGCAAGATGTGTTGCAGGAGCTGGCAGCTGAGGAGAGTCAACATGCTTCTCCACATTTTGAGCCCAGTCTCCACATCGAAGACCTGAGGAAATCCCTTGGGACAGTGAGCTGGGGCTCAGGACTGGCATGGGTCATCAGGAGGGAGGCCTGGTTCTGCCCTGTCTGTACTGTGGTCTCCAGTTCTTTGCATTCCCAGACTCCCACTTCTCCGCCAGCCCGCTGGTGCTAGTGAGCGGTGCCTGGTAGCTAGTGACCCTGTTTTCTTATCTAGGCCCAGGAAGGGCTTTCAGAGTCTTCTGGTCCTTCAGGGCATCTGCTTTCTCTGCCCTCAGTGGGTCTCTTCCACCCTGTGTCCTTAGAACCTGGCCAAAGAGGCTCCCTCGTCCTTTTCCCAGAGCAAGGAGGCGAGCACGGCATCCTTGGACAGGTGAGTTCTAGAAGCCCCTCTTATGTGGTTGGGTTGAGGGGGCCTGCCCTGTAGTGACAGAGAGCCAGCCTGTCACAAAGCTGGAGTGAACAAAAATGAGGTGACAGTGACTTCCAAGGGGAGGCCCAGGGATTAAAGTCTTGGCCAGCCAGACTAAGCACTGCCCACTGTGACTTTTGAAACTGTATATTGGCATCTACTGACCTCTGGTTGAGGACCAGGCTTCTGGGAGTGTGCAGACCATGTATTGGGAGGCCCAGGCACTGTCCCCTTCAGAGTCGTGGTGGGGGATGTTTAGTTCCAGGTGCTTCTTACTATAGGCATTTATCGGTGGCACCCTGCATCCCAGCCCAGCCCGGTATATCAGCCCCTGTCTGCTCAGGTGGGCCTCTGCTGGGGAAATGGCCATATGCCCACAACAGAGTTCTTAAATGCCCTCTGTTTCTTTGTCCAATTTGCCTGGCCTGGCTCGGTCCCACTGCCTGCAGCATCCGGCACTATCTCTCCACTGAGGGGATAGCCATACGCAGTGCCAAGGAGTTCCTGGTGCGGCAGAAGCGCTCCATGCAGAGGCGGCAGACGGCCCTGAAGGCTGCCCGGCAGCACTGGCATCAGGAGCTGGCCAGCACTCAGGAGGCGACCAAAGACTTGCCAGGCACCAAGGCCCTGGAAGACGTGCGCAAGAACCTGGAGGAGGTCAGTGACCCCCAGGAGAGGCAGGAGGGAATACCTGCTAGCCTTGTGTGAGGTCGGGGGTCGGGGGAGTCCCAGGAAGCCAGCAGGACATCACATTACAGGGTTATGTGCCATGTACGCCACCTATAAGAGTCAGTCCCTTCATCCTCTCCAGCACCATGCATCCTGGGCTAGGCAGCATGGCTTGAGTGGCCCAAACCCCAAACTCAAGATCTAGAACACTTTGATGTCTAGTGAAATCTGTAAAGTTTCCAAAATTTGAAACACTTCTGCTCCCAACAGTTTCTGTTCAACCTGTATCCTTATTCTGGTCTTCGGGGTCAGGGGTACAAAATTAAGGTATAAGAACAGGTGAAATCCTGGATATGGAAAGAAGAATTTCTAGGCAATCATTCATGATCACTGAGCCAGCTAGTGGCCCAGCCAGGAATTTGCTGTCTGTGCAGTTGGTCACTGCTCCTGCCCTTCCTCTGTGGCTACCAGGAGACTCGGCACCTGGACGAGATGAAATCCGCCATGCGCAAAGGCCATGACCTGTTGAAGAAGAAGGAGGAGAAGCTGAACGAGCTGGAATCCTCTCTCCGAGAAGAGGTGAAATGCTGTGGTCACCCAGCCTTCCCGCTGCCTTTCTTGTTTCTGGGGCAGCTGGACCTTAAGAGCCCAGGACCAGGCGATGGGCTTCGGGTGTCACCTCTGAGCTTGCTGAGCACCCCTTTTGGTTTGGATGCTTAATCTGAGTACACCTGGAGCCTCTTGCTGAAGGTTCTAGAGCAGGACAACTCATACCTGCCCTTTACCCTGCCAGGGTGCCCAGAGTGAGGTGTAGGCACTGTCGGGGTCGGGTGTTCATGGCAGGGGTCCCCACCTTTCCTGGGGAGCTCAGATGTCAGAGACACTGCAGGGCAAGTTGACTGGTGGTGGTGGTGTGTGTGTCTGGTGTGTTCAGTCCTAGGGCCTCTGTAGCATCCATCTCAGGCAATTGGATTCTCTTAGCCTGTCTTAGGTGTCTGCTGGGTCTTTGGGGCCCAGAGGTGTGTCATCACCAAGTCTTCCATCCCCACATCAGTGAGGTAGCAGGCCCGCAGGAAGCCACATTAATAAATTGCCTCTCCTGCCCTTCAGGTCTCCGATGAAGACACTCTGAGAGGAGCCCCCAAAAAGAAGGCAGTGACCTTTGACCTCAGTGAGGAGGAGGAAGATGAAATGAGCAGTGAAAGTTGCGAATCTTGCTCCCTGCCTGGTGGTGAGTGTAGTGGCTGCAGGGCAGCGGGGCATGGAGCAAGGGGTTGGACACCATCGCAACTGTAGATGGGGAGGAACCCTGTCCTCTGTGAGCCCCCTGTGCTGCAGGTCCCTCCTAAGGCGCCTCAGCGCCAGCTCGGTTGGAAGGTTCTGCACTCTGAGTCCCTGCCTGCCATCCCCTGCCCCTCTCCTTTCAGTCATGCCAACCCCGAGTCCCATCTTCCCCACCAAGATCCATCACTTGAGCAGCTCCTTGCAGCGGATCAGCAGCGAGCTCAACGGCGTCCTCAGCATGCTGGGCAGCCTCAACACGCCGCCACCGCTGCTGCCGCTGCAGCCACTCTTCACGTCCACACAGGCCACGTTTCCACCCCGCCCCTCCAAGGGTATCCCCACCCCTGCCTACCGCTCCCTGACTCCACTCTCAGCCTCATCTCCTGTCCCACCTGTGTCCACCCAGTGGGCCTGGGACCCGGGGCTGGGCCCCCGGCTGTCCTCCTCAGTGGCTCAGACAGTGGACGACTTCCTGCTGGAGAAGTGGCGCAAGTATTTTCCATGTAAGCCTCCCTCGGGGTTGTGCCTGCCTCTGGATGGAAACCTCCCATCTTCCTCCTCCCCATCTTTCTTTCCATCTATCTTTTTGCTTCTGCTCTTCTTATCTCCCACTTCTTCTTCTGCCTGCCCCTTATCCAGAACACCAAATTGAGCAGGATTGCTTGGCCCCTCAACTTGGCCTGTGGGTCCCTCCCAAAAGCAGAGTTTGCAGGTGGCCCTGAGATTGTGATGATTAGCACGGAGCCTGGGCTGACTCCAGAGCCGGAACCTATAGGGCCCTTGTCACCACAGGAGCTTCTATCTTGTGTAAAACCTCAGGGCCATGCGTCCCATGTGCGTGTTTTCATTACATTCTTCTGATGGTTCCCTGAGGTTGGGATAATTACTCCCCATTTCACAGATAACGAAACTGAGGCTCAAATTTGTTAAGTACTCTGCTCTGGGATGCCTGGTGAGGAAACTACACCCTGGGTTTTGATCCTAAATCTGTGTGGTTCCTGGCTGCAGGTGCCTCCTCTGATGCCATAGCCCGCCTAAGGCATGTGGGAAGGCTGGCTGTAACAACAGTCATTTGAGGGAACAAGTGAAAAACAAAGACAAAAAGCTTTCCACTTTGGTCCCACTTGAGAAGTAGATGAATTTTTAGAATCAGCCTAAATGGGACACTTCCCGTCTTTCACCATTGTAACTTTGCTTACTCGTGTATGTTTCTTCTGGGGGCACTGCCTTGTCTGTCTGGTGCAGGGGCGGAGGGGGGGAGCTGGTATTACTGAGCAAGGCTGCCAGGGCCTGGATCAGCTAACCCCATTGCCCATTGGTCTCTAGCTGGCATCCCATTGCTCAGTAACTGCCCACCTCCTCTGGAAAACAAACTGGGATATGTATCTGCCAGGTAAGACTCCCCATGGACCCTCACCTCCAGCTGCTCACCGTGCTACCCTGGGCAGATGGGCCCTTAGAGGGAGCACACCTCCCCGTCCTGTTGCCCCAAGAGACAAGGCTCCCAGTCCACAGAACCACGAGGTGCCCTCTGCAGCCACGGCAAAGTCAAGTCCAACAGCTGTGTGCTTCCGGGGTGCTGGGCCCAGGCTTTTCCAGCTAGCCTCACCAGGAAGCTGCCCCGGCTTCCCTGGGGGCCAGAAGCCACCCTTGGCGGCCCCTTCCTGCCGTGGGCCTGGACTTTGTCCTTGTCCTGGAGCTCTCTGCTTCCTGCCACTCCCACCTTCCCCCAAGTCTTGCTGAGCAACATCTGGAGTGAGAGGAGCACCCTGTCGGGGAGACAGACAGGCAATTATTTAAGCCTGTGATTAGCTCCCCCTATTCATTTTACTCCTTGCCAGAGGTCTCCCCTCCCCTTCCCCACTTGGGCCCCAGCTGTGAACAACCCCGACTGTTCCTTTGGCCAGGCTGGCGGCTGAGTATTTGACTGGACAGTGGAGCGCTCGTTGGCTGACAATGGGCAGGGATGGCAACCTGCAGCTCAGGCTGTCAGCAGGCACCCAGGATGGGGGCAGAGGGTGCCCATCCCCTCCCCTGGGGGAACTGACACACGTTGCCCTGAAAGGCAGCTTTTGCCAGGAGAAGGGCTCTGAATTGTGGAAGATAACCCCTGAGAAGGCTACAGTTGGCACATTGGGAGGAAGAGGGCGGAGGGGATGTCATGGTTAGTCGGTGGGGGGGGGGGGCGGTGCTCTGCTGCATGCTGTATGCCCTTTCCCTCACACCCCTGCCAACTCTCTTCACGCTGCCCTCCTCCACAGCGAGCAGCTCCGCTTCCTGCAGCGCCCACATTTCCAGGCCCCTGAGATTGGCAGCACCAACTTCCAGAGCATCATTGAAGCCAACCGCAGGTGGCTGGAACAGTTCAGGAAGGACCCTAAGTCGTATCCTTTCAGCCGCTCCCTGACCCTCAACCCTCGGCCCAGCCCCCTTCTGCCCTAGTGGCTGGTTTAGTGCCTGGGGTGTCCCTTCCTGCCCCCTCCACTCTTTCACAGCCCTTGGTGCGACAGACTCAGCTGTTTTCCTTCATCTTGTGGCCAGACATCTCTTCCCTGTGCCCAAGCCAGCTGCCACTGTGGGCCTGCTACAGCTAGGTCTTGATGAGGACAAGACCCTGAAGGTGTATCACTATTGAGGCCCAAACCTGGGCTCTGGGGCCACCCAGCCCTCTTCTGCACACCCTGAGCGAGTGCCTGACAAGCTGCCTGCACTTTACTCTCTCTGATATAACATCCTCCCATCCCAGGCTGCTGGCCTGCCTGGAGGATATGGGGGACCCAGTGGGGGACCTGGGGCTGGGTGAGGCACGGCTGGAAATGGCAAGCCATACCCTCTGTGAGCACACGGTGTGTCTCACGTGGAGAGACGCAGACTTCTATAAGCTCTGGCCTCAGCTTCACAACAGCAACTCTGACAATGAATAACAATGAATATGAGTGGCGTGGGGCTAGGGGGTTCTCTCGGGGAGAGGGCAGCGTTGGAGAACTGCTTGCAAGTCTGGGAAAATCCTTCTGGAGTCAGGTTGCTCTCTGACACCTGCAAGGTATTTCCAGGGGTCCCTAATCCGCCAGGGCCATGTTCTCCCCACCCCCAGATGCCCAGTGGTCACTCTCTGACCACATCACATCTCCAATACCTCAGCCTGGCAGAGGCCAGACCCTTTGTCCAACAGCTCTGCTCTGAGCACTCTCTACCCTCTCAGGATTGGGCTCAGCCACCGGAGCCCTGCTAGGGGCTATGCCCCAGGAAGCCTTGCTGCCTTCTCTGTCCGTCCCTCCTATCCCTGCCCCAAGCACTGTGCTTTGCTCAGGGGCTCAGGAGCACCCCTCCTCTCTCTGGGGGTGCCTCTGCAGAGCCAGCCAGTATCTCAGGTCGTGAGCCTACAGCTCCTCCAGAGAAACCAAAAAGCCATAGGGAAAGGCCACATGTGTTCATGGATCCGCAGTTCCGTCCTTCCTGTCTGTTCCACCTGCCCCAGTCTTTGATGCTGTGGCCACCTATTCCCAGAGCTTGGCGGCAAGGGGCCTTGTCCCAGGCACTGCAGTTGCTGTGAAGGCCCAGCTCTGTGCAGCATGCTCCTTGGGGGCTCTGTGCTGTGGTCTCAACAAAATGCCTCCATTTCTCTTTGAAAAGCTGTGGAGCTGCCCCTGCCTCCCTATGGCCTGGAAGCCGGCTCCCTGCACGTCCCCATCCTCCACCCATCTCATTGCCGTGGAATAAAAAACCGAGACCCCCTTGGCTGCTTTAGCCTCTCAGGTACTCGTAGGCATCAGCGCTGACCTCATGCAAAAAGCCCATTTTGTTACTTGGCTCACTGTGCCTGCTTTGGAATTGCTCAACTCCAGTGACAATCCTGTGTGTTCTGCATCAATTAAACCTCTGCGGGTCCTTTTTCTACAAGGCGGTCATGTGTGTGCATGTGTGTGCAGGGCTCGGCCTGCCCTTTGTGGGCGGACCTCTCCTTGAGTGTCCGGGCTCGCTGCCGGCGTAAGGCAGTCAAGGTGTGTATCTGCTCCAGCTTTGTTGTTGAGGAACCCCAGGCTTGGGGACCTTTCAGTGCCTGGGTTCCCTACACATGGGGAGGCCACACTCTGTCCTCATACCCCCAGAACACCCTGCACAATGTGGCCTCTTTTGGGGGAAAGGGCTGACATTCTCCATGTCTCCCTTAACCCCTTCTGCCCCCACACACTGCTGTCCCCTTCCCACCATCTGGAGATCTGTTGCTTGCACCTGCCAGCTCCCTTCCCCATGTGAGCAAGTGAAAGACAAGTCCTCTGTGGCCCCATTAATGTGGGGTTTTCTGCTCTAGTGCCATGAGTGGCCTACATACGGACTGGGATTTATAGCAGCAGGCTGGCTGGCTGTGAGAGCCAGCCAAGGGGCCAGGTTTCATAGACATACACAAGGAAATAAACCAAAAACAGACAAAAGGCCCCAGCCAGTGTGCGAGGTCAGCAAGCAGGAGGGTAGGCAGGGGAGGGAGCAAGCAAGCGAATGCTCACTCACTGTCATCTGGGTGCCAGGCGATTCTCATTGCCATTGCTTGTAAGTTGGTATGCTCATTTTGTAGGGAAGGACATTTTGGCTCTGGAGTTCAAGTGCTGAAGTCCCAGGTCACACAAAATTTTTGACCTCACATCCCAGATCTCTCTTGCTCCCCTGTGGTGGCAGCTCCCATCCTCCTAGCTCACAGAACAGCAGTACTGCCTCGCTGGGTTAAAGGCTTCCAGGATGACTGGTTTCTAGCTGGAGGTATAAAACCCTGCTGGGCCGAGGTTTACAGAGGGACGAAGTCTAGGATCCCCTGCCTATCCCCAAGGAGTTTAGAATGCACTGAGCAGACCAGAATCACCGGCCTTTCAAGCTAACGGGGATGCTGTTGGTGACTTCGCCAGGTTCTGGAGCCATGGGTGCTCAGGGTGCAAAATCCAGCAAGGTCGGCGTCCAGGAGGAGCTGCTGCCTGTTTCTGGATGGTGTCCTCATGCCTGGGAGGGGGGGATGGGGGAGAATCCAGCCTCCCTCTATCTGGTATATGAGCTCTAATTCCATGCATGAGGGTTCCACACCCCCTCCTGACCCATCACCCTGGGCAGGGCACATGTAGGCTCAGTTGTGGCAGGGGCCTGATTCCATCACTTATTCACCCCACTCACAGTTTACCGTGGAGGAAGTGGCTTGGAGATGTCAAATGAGTTACCCCAGTGGGCACAGATGGTGTGTGCTGGAGGTGGAACCAGAGCTGAGTATGCCTTGATGTTCCTGGCTGGAACTTCAGGAAGCAGGGACAGAAGTTTTTGTTCTCTTTGAAAGGATATTTACTTGAAATCAATTCTGAGTTGCCATGGCTTCGTATTGCAGTGTCCCCGACCATTTAGGATTCCTCCCTTGAAGGTCACAGGGATTATCAGTTCCTGGGGGAGTGGGTGCAAGTAGAGGTGAAGAAGGCGTGCACTGAGTGCTGGATCATTGCCCTTTGCAGCTGGAACGTGGGCTGTTGGGATCGCAGGAGCAGGCGGTCCCTCCTGGGGCACCCTTGGGAACTGTTCCCTGTTGTCTTCAGGGAGCAATGTTGGGAAGGGTAGAAGACCCTTCTACCCTCTGATACCACTCCAGGGACTTCTATTAAAAAAAAGAAGAAACAGCAGTACAGTATGGCTGAGTAGGGTGTGACCCTCACCTTACAGTGCCTGGGTCTGTATTTGGCCATGCCACCTTCATACTCTGTCGCTTGAACAAGCTGTTTCTGGGCCCAAGTCTTCCGTGGTCAAAGCTGCAGAATTCACACTGCAGGCATGGAGCAGGGTGGCTGCCTCAGCTCCTGCAGCTGTGGGAGTCCTGCTGTGGGGTTGTGTGAGGGAGGGGATGGGAGAGAGCTGGCCTCCTGCGGGGGCCATGCCACTGGGGCCTCTCCCATCGAGTGGGAGCTGGAGAAAGGATGGTTCTGTTACCCTTCGCCTCCTCCCTGCCTCTCTGCCCGCCTCCCCTGTGAGTGAGCCTTTTCTGGCAGGTGTCACACAGGATGCAGAATGACATGATAAACAGCTGACAAAAGGATGACAGGCCTAGCTTTCCCTTTTAGCTCTCTTAAAGACACAATTTTGGATTTTTTTTAAAAATTGATTTGAAAGGCAGAGAAAGGAAGATAAAGATCTCTCATCTGCTGGTTCATGGCCCAGATGTCCCCAGTAGCGAGCCAGGAGCCAGAATCTCCATCCAGATCCCCCACTGGGTGACAGGGACCCAACTAATTGAGCTATCATCTGCCACCGCCCCCCCCCCCCGAATGTGCATCAGCAGAAAAGCTGGCATTCCAACCAAGCGCTGCAATATGGGGTATGGGCATCCCCAGTGGCATCTTAGTTGCTTAGTGCCTGCCCCTTCCCAGTTGTCTTTGGCTTGCAAACCAAAGCATGCCCTCTTGGTTTTCCATTCCCAGAAGCAGATGGTTCACACAGACCAGCGCACACTCCAGCAGTGACCTTGTTTCTAGTAAGCAAGTTCATGGAAATGGGAGCCTTGATTGAGGATGGGCCACATCACCATCCCTCCGAGGGAAGAGGGAGGTGCTGCTGTCCTATTCTCACCAGGCAGAGCTGGGGATGGCTAATGTTTGCAGGGAGCAGCGTGTGATTTGGAGTCAGTCAACATTTCTAATCGGGAGGGAGGAGATGGAAGTGATGGGGACTCTGTTTCAGAGAGCACATTCTGGGATGGGCCTGAACCTGCACATGTCTACACACACATACGTGCATGCACCAGCCCTCAGCTCCACTGTGGCCTAGGAAGCCTGTCTCACGTTCCTGGAGGCCCACCTGTGGACTTGGGTGCCAGAGTCCAGCTCCAGCTGAGTTCGGAACTCGAGAAGGGTGCGTGGATGAGGTGCAAAGAAAGAAAGAGACGGACCACTAGGACTTCATCATCATAATGGACCACGCACAAAAGCTGTCTGCTTTATTTATACAAAATCAGTCAAACTCTGGCTCAGACTTTTTACGTCATGGTCAAGTGGGTGTTTCTAAAGATAACTGCCATTTGTTTCACCTAAGGCTAGAATGTTAACCACCTGGTGCCTGGCACCTGGCGCCTGGCTAGGAATAAGTTCTCAATAGATGGTGCATATCAATCACTAACACGTTCCTACCACAATTACTCTACAGCTTTGTCTTGAGACAGTCAAGGAAGGAAGGGCTTCACAGGAGGGACCTAAAAAGATCAAAGAAAGAGGGAAAGAATAGATTTCACTACACCTGAAGACAGAACACCCTTGATTAGCATAGGATCAAAAGGGGAGTTAGCACCCTTGATTAGCATATTGCCACAGGATGCAGCCGTAACAGCAATAACAGATTTTTGGCTAAAAAACGGTAACAGCAACATCAGCTTCTAAGCTCCTACTGATATTTAGCAGTAACTCCGCAGAGGCAGACAATGCCTAAATAGATTACAGAAATCTCAATGGGGTTGACCGGTGTCCATGCAAAGGGAGGCAGAGCTGCATTCAGGTGTTGTAGAGACATCCGCCTGGCCTTGCCACACAGCGGGAAGTTCCTTGCGGCCTTGCCTGCAAAGGAACGATACTCTTCACACCTTCCTGTCTTCCACATCCATCACTGGGACCCCAGCACTTGGGGTCACCTTACCCTGTCCTACATTACCCAGAGGCGAGCTTGGGACAAGATGACTGGGAGCACTTCTGCGTGACTCATGAGCTGTGGGTCAGCAGCAGTGCGGCCCAGCCTCAGCCTGCTCTCCTGAAGCACTGCACCTCCCCAGCTCTGGCAGGAGGCAGAGGTACATGGGGGAATCCCACTGTCAGGGAAATCAGACAAGGGCCCTTGATCAGCCCCTTAGGGCCTCAGTGTTCACACCTGTAACATAGGGTTCATGGTAGAACCTGGCCCATAAAGTGGTTGTAAGGACACAAGGAGCTCTCAGAACAGTACTCGGCACACAGGATTTGTACATGTCAGGTATTATTGTCTTCGTCACCATGGAGAATTCGGCAACTGTGATCAAAAAGCTCAATGCTGACTTGGCTCACCGTTTCAGAGGCTGGATTCTCTGAGAGTGTGGCACCACTGTCTGCATGGCACCTGGTGCAGGCTTTCTGGCTGCAGCACCACCTGGTGAGACATGGCCAGCCTGCTGGCTCAGGATCTCTCTCTCCCTTCTCAGCAAGAGGAACAGCAAGGGTCAGGGCATGATGGGCACACAGATGGCCAGGGGGACACTTTTTAGGGGGCCTGGCTGGCTTGAGAAGGCACCCTGGTTGTGAAAAGCCAACAGACTCATGGGTTCCCCACAGGGAGCCAGTCCTGCCAGTTGTACACACCTAGGAGCCAGGGACACAGGCTTGAGCATGCTCTCTGGACACCTGGGCCAGGATTGGACAGGGGCAACAGCGAAGAGTGGAGGCAACCCTGCTTTTACTGCCTGTGGTCAGGCTCGTATGTTGCCCAGGACCCAAGTGTGGTCCTGAGGCTCTATATTAATGACTCCTAAAGGCTTGGGTTCAAGGGCTTGGTTTTGTGGCACTGAGGGTTAGGTCCCCAACTTTTCACATGCATGCCAGTTCAAGTCTTATTGACTGCTCTGCTTCAGATCCATCTCCCTGTTGATGTGCCTGGGAAAGGCAGTGGAAGATGTGCCACCCATACATGAGTGGGATCCTGGTTGGAGCTCTGGGCTCCTGGCAATGATCTGGCTCAGCCCTGGCCACTGCGGCCATTTGGGAAGTGAACCAGAGGATGAAAGATCTCTCTGTAACGTGTAACTCTGCCTTTCATATTAATAACAAAACCAACCAACCAACCAACCAACCAACCAACCAACCAAACAAACAAACAAACACAACCAAATCAATGTTCCAGTGTTGA